TCGAGCCCTGTTGCGGGAATTAATGAGCAGAGCGGGAAAAAAAAACGAGATGGCCCCAGCGCCACCGCGCACTAGTGACAGCAGGCCTGACCGGGCCATGTTAGCGTGCTTTTTTTCTTTCCTGTCGAGAGCTGCAGCCGCGCTGGGATGATCCTCTTCGACCTGATACGGTGGTTGGGCATACATCATCCGTCATCATCGACCTCCCTGATCAGGACGGGTGCCCGCTAGCGCACCCCCCTGTCTCAACCTCGCACGGATACCTGGCCCGAGTGTCTGGTAGCTGGTGCGTGGAAGTGGGGGTGTGGTATGCCGAATAGGCATGAGGGATCGACATGGCACATTTTCTCTGCTGGTCATGGCGCTCTGAGGCATGTCACTCCCCGCTGCTGATTCGCCTTCATCTCCCGATTGTGGGGTAAAGGGGCTGGTCGAGATGAGCGCCATCCTGAGGAGCCGTGGTCAAAAATGTATTTGTGATTTCAAAGACTGTATGTACTACTCCGCCCCCCCCTTTGCGCCCCTCCAGCTGACGCTGCCATGTTTCGAGGCTGCGAGAGACCACAATGCGCACTGATCAGGTCGACCTCCATTCGGAATCTCTTTTCTTGGGTCACCAAGTCCAGATTTGCGCCGCCTGAGGATCCGCAGGAAAGAGGGAGGTCCCGCGAACAGACTGGACTGTTGTTCTGCTCTGACATCTGTCATGTCCGCGTCAATTGAGTTTTAGCAAGCGTGCGCCAACTAGGATCGTCTCCCTGTTCACCCATTCCCTTGGGACCTGCCAATCGAGACCTGAAACAACGGAGGACTGTGCTCCGGCAGCTGGCACGGTGCGCCCGTTTCTCATACATACTCCCCCTCCACTCTTCGTACTGTAGCCACGCTGTGAGTTGCCGATCCCGGATGAGAGGAAAGGGGAAGAGGGGGAGGGGCCCTTCTGGGGTACGTCCGGTGGCGTGTCAGCCGGAGATTGGGATAGTCCGTCTCTTTCTGCCTCTGGCAGCAAATTGGATCTGCTGAGGATCTCCCGCGAAGGTTCGTCGGCGCATCCAATAAAGGATTGCCGCCGCCAATCCCCGGGCTCCTCCTGCCCGCCGGCCCAACGCTCGAAAAAGAAAGACTCGCACTAGAACGCGTGGTCCCTCCGACCACGCCCGGTCCTGCACATCCGTCGGCGCTCATTGGCCGGCCCGGGCTGGGGGGACACGACGTTCAGGCACAGCGAATCACGCTGACGGCTTGGCCCCGGGGATCTCCCTAAGGGGGAGGTGCATCGGGTGGTGAGGCAGACTCTGCGCTCGGTCCCCGACTGAGCCACCCTTTGCCTAGACATTGCCCAGCGATCATCCTGCCTGCTCTGTCTGTTCTGTTCAGTATTCCCGACCGGAGCGGAAAGGCGCGGCTTGTCGCTCCAAATCGCCCGGAGGGTTAGAAGGAGGGGGGGGGGGGAGAGGCGCCAGAGGCCGGATCTCGATGGAGTCGCAAGATCTCCAGGGTCAGCCAATCAAGTGGATGATGGGTGTGGCCAGGCTCTTCCAGTTGCCCGATAGTCCCCGCTGTGCTAAGCCGTTTGGCAACAACCATGGAACGGGGCGCGATCGTAGAGCGATGGTGATGATGCTGACTTGGCCCGCGGAGGTCCACCGGGGGTTGCAAGATTGGTTCGATGGCTGGACCCTTTTCCCGGTATGACGATCATAATTGGTTGGGTTGGGGCTGGTCAGTGCAGGCCGAGAGAAGAAGAGCAGTGAGTAGGAGAGAATAAATAATCACTGGATCATTGGGCGGTGCTCCACCACGATCATACAATACTGTGATCTCATCTCTCGTCCTCGTATACCTCTTGCACTCCCACCTCGGCTTAACTGAGCAATTAGCCTCCCGTGTGACCGTCGGGCGATCCTGCCCTTTTCCTCGTGTCCCCCATCAGCTGCCTCTTCCTCTGCTGCCTCTGCTGCTTCTTCTTCTTCTTCTTCTTCTCTGCTCGTCTCGTCTCTCCACTGCCATAACCACTCCTGTCCGATTGCCCACCCGTGGAACCATCCGGCTGTCTTTCGCTGGATGCCTTGACCCAAGGCCCGTGCTTGGTCGATCCGGCCGCTGGAGGGGGGGGCCCCCAAACCCAACTCAAAAACCCGCTGGTTGACTGCTCCATCAGACCCTGGTCGATCCCTGGAGCTTATCTTCTGCCACTTCCTCCCACAAACTGACTAACTCTCGCTCCAACACTCTAAAAAAGTCTCTTCCTGCCCCTTCCCTCTCTCTCCCCCTACTCCATCTCCTCCCCATCGCGGTTCCTGGCCCTGCCCGCAACCTTATCGAGCCAGAGAACAGACCCCACTCGCCCACTATGGTCAACGGCGCTGCGGCAGTGCTGGAACCTACCTTCACCGGGTACGTTGCCACAACTCAAGATGCGCTGCTTCTCTTCGAGGCCTGCTTGACCGGGGTGCTGCACCATGTCCCCCGCCGGCCGCACGATCGCGAGCGCAGCCAGTTGGTGCGCAGCGGCAGCGTTTTTATCTACGAAGAGAACTCCTCCGGCATCAAGCGATGGACCGACGGGGTGACCTGGAGTCCCAGTCGCATCCTGGGCAACTTCCTGGTCTACCGGGAGTTGGACAAACCATTTCCGCCCGGCGAGAAGAAGCGCGCAATGAAAAAGGCCAACCGACGCCCCACACCCGCAACCCGGCCGGGGGAGCCTTACCCGCGACACGACAGCAACGGGCCAAGTTATTCACCTACATCTCCACAGGGCTCGTTCGGAGACCGGCCCCATCAGTCAGAGGTGGAGCGAGCATTGGTCGGGTCGCTGGTCGATTCGTACGGGTTCAAAGACTCGGGCTTGGTCAAGAAGACGATGAGCGTGACGGTCTCAGGGGTGACCCACCACCTGGTATCGTACTACAGCGTGGACGACGTGATGCGCGGCGCACTGAACCCACCCTCGATGGTGGACTCGCTGCGCTACCTTCGACCGCGCGCCGAACTCACCCAGAAACAGAGCTTCCGCGCCCCGATCGATGATCTGGAGACCAGCGCCATGGAGAACCCGCACGATCCATCCCACACCCTCTACGGCTATCGCCCACAGATGATGGCCCCGCCAGGGTACGGGATGCCAAACCCATCGGCCGACTTCTACATGCATGCCAGCCCTTATGCCGCCGCACACCCCCCTCAAACAGGGCCCGGCCCGATCCCAGCATACTCGATGGCAGCATCTTTACCGGGACAGCCCGCGCCAAACCCGTACCTGCCGGCTCCCGGCACGGCGGCCATGCAGCCCAAGCCGGAAGATTACCATGCGTTCCGCGGGGGGCCATACGGCGGCAGTATGGATTCAGCGATGAGCCACGGATCTATCTCCTCGATCCCGAGCGCTCTCAACACGGCCATGCACGGGTCGCTGAGTGAGCGCAACCGATCGGCCTCCGACCACAGCCAATCCGCGTATCGCAATTCTTCCATCTCGTCGCGCAGCGCCATCACCGATGCCACGTCCCCGATGGACCCCTCGACGCCGGCTACCTACTCGCGCAGCAGCTTTAGTCTGTCCGGCCAACTCGACACGACACCGAGCGCGTCCCTCGAAACACCTCGTGGCCTCGGCCTCGACCCCAACGTTCCGCGCCGAGAATCACACCCGGTTCAACCAGGATACTATGCTGGTGCCGACCGCCCTCAATACTACATGGGCGGCCCGGGCCCGGTCAATAATCATCCTGCGCATTACGCAGCCGCACAGCCGCTCTCGACATGGACAACGACTGCCCCCGCGCAGCCTCAAATATGATGTCTCTTTCCTTTTTTTTTTTTTTTTTTTTTTGCTTCATTGTGTTCTTTGATGGTGTTTGTCCGGGAATCCAGGGAGCGCAGGAGTCGGGAAACAAACGGGTGGTCTTTTTTCGTCTTTCTTGCTTTTTGTCTGAAGATAGAGACGCTGTTCTGTGGCTTCAATATCCCCGAGGACCAAAAATTCGCTATGTCCTCTCGCCGTGTGTACTTGTTTGTTTCTGTCTGGGTTCGTCTTTTTTATTCTGTCTTTTAATTCGCACCCCCCCGTCTCTGTTCATATATTGGTGGATTTGCTTTACTTTTCATGTTTGGAAGGGATCTGTCTTTTTCTTCAAACGTTGGCTCTGATTCTGATCTGATATCGGTCTGGACGGGAGGCGTTTTTATTTCTTTTTTTTTTGACTATTATCTTTCTTTTCTGACGATGTGATGCTATAACAAACCACTGCTGCGACAACCCAAAAACTCTGGGTTGTCTCCTTTCTTTCCCCCTTTCGATGCGTGTCGGCTTATGATAACCCCTTACTATGTATGCGCTTCATTACTCCTTTTCCTTTTCCTTTTCCTCTCCACGTTTCCGTTCTTCTCCTCCAGGTGCCGCATGCACGCTTTTCTGTCCGCACTGCTATTACTCATTGTCGCCTATATTATTTTATTATCTGCGACCACGATCGCGATCACGATCAACAATGATGTCCTCCTTGTGCGTGGGACGGTGGGGTTCGATCCGATTTCGAGTCTTTTCGTTCCAGGGTTGGTGTTGTTCCAGATCTATGCTTTATCTTTGTAGCAGGGAGGTTATGTTATCCTTTTTTGGGTTAGGTTTGATATGTTGTGCTTGAGGGAAAGAGGCACGTTCCTTTTTTTGGTTTTTTTGCTGGCAGTATACCCTCGTCCACACAGACTCTTGTCTCTGTCTATCTAATCTCTGTCTCTACACACCGGAATGGAGTGCTGTTTAGTCAAACAATCATCTTTTTATTGATGTTGGTATCACTCAGACATAGTCATACACTCAGCACTCACTGGAGTCCATCCAGTGCGGTCCACTTAGAAATATAACGGAAATAGGGTAAGGTAGATCATTTGTAGATGCAGATGAGACGAGTTGTTAGGAAGAAGTAGAATACGAGGGGGAAAAAGGCCCTGAACCTACAGCTTCAGCGAGATATGTCAGGGAAGGTGAGTAGTCTAATCTAACGCTCCGCCAAAGAAGCAAGCATGGATGCCGTCAACGGCTGATTCGCCATCGTCATGACGCGGTGAACCCCATTTGGACGGGGTCGAGGTCTACCACCGTGTTTCTGAACGCCGAGGTCGCGCTCGTCCTTCTCCTTGTCATCATCATCGTCATCGTCATCTTTGAGTTCGCGCAGAGAGCTAGCCGCATCGCGCATGCTGAAACTAGCCACCGTGCTCGTGTTCGCGTTCATGTTCGCACCGCTGAAGAAGCCTGTATTGAGAAACTCCCGCGATCGGGTACGGCGCAACGTCGTCTCGGGACGGCGCCCGGGGCCGCCGACAGGCGCAGCGGCAGTCGCCCTCGAAGTTGTAGGAGTTGGTCGGGAGGTCTGCGGGCTTTGAACTCGGCGCGGACGCGGACTCTGGACGCGCATGTTGGCGATGTTTGAGGCTGTGGCGTGGTCGAGAAGGAGGCGGATGTTGATTGTGTTTGCTTCGGGCGCGGGTGCAGACCCGGTTTGTACGGTGGATGTTGTGGCAGGGGCTGCAGTATTGGTATTGGCATTGGCATTGGTTGCCATATTGGAAGAAGCAGTTGAGGGCATGTTGCCGAAAGGAAGAGTCTGCGTGTGCAGTCGTCGGAGCTGGGTTTCTGCGAAGCTGTTTTGCGCGGAGAGGCTGCTGTTCAGGAGCATTTGCATCGGGTTCATGTTCATTCCGTACTGGCTCTGGTAGTTCTGCGGGTAGTTCTGCGGATAGTTCTGCTGGAGAGAGTTATTGATGGGCGTGAGAGAATTGTCGGGGGGAATTTGGATCTATGCAACATCTTAGTTCTTTGCTTCATTCGTGCGCTCAAAACGAAACTCACCTGGCGACTGTACTTCCTCCCCGGCATGGCGATGTAGTCATCGAACGAGCTCTCCAACGCCGCGAAATTGAACCGCCCCGTCTTATCCACCGGCTCGAAGCGCTGCCCCGTCTCCTGCCGGAAATCCACACCGCGACGCAGCTTGGGCCGGAACGCTGACAGGGACAGGTACCAGCCCGGGTAACTGCCAAACCAAGTCTGGATGACGGGCTCGATATCGATGGACAGCCCGACGCGACTATCGGCAGTGGGTTTCTGGATGAGCATGACAAAAGTGAACTCGCGCGGCAGGCCGGAGCGCTGCAGATTGTTTTCCTCGAGAGACCAGACGATCTCACCGGATTCGACGTCGAACTCCGGGCCGAGGCGGCTCTTCAGCGTGCGCGCCGAGCCCTGGATGCGCATCATCTCGTACCGTCGATACTGGCCGTTCATGCTGCCCGAGGGAATCACGCTGGCGCTGAACGGCGTCTCGGAGATGCCCAGCGATCCGGCAAGACTGAATGTCCATTCCAAGGTCTCTGGGGACACGGTGCCGTAGATCAAGTGCGGTGCGTGCATCAGAAAGCGCGGGTTGCCTGGCGGGTAGCCGTGCGGATACATGGCCGAGGTAGACACTTCGCGACCGCCGTGGATCGAGGCGCGGATGGTGGCAGACTTGAAGCGGTGGGAGAGCGTGTGCGGCGAGTGGAAGACAAAGTTGATGGCGAGGAAATCCACATGCTCTGCGTCCTTGTCGGACACGGCGGTGCTCGAGTAGAAGCCGTGCTGGAGGCGCTGGACATGCGCGGTGATGTACGCGTCGCCTGGGAGTTGGCGTTCGTAGATACAGGCGCGGTTGACAAGAAGGCGAGGGTTGGCCATGTTTGGGTCCTGCGACTGGGGATTGGCTGGATCTGAAGAGGAGTTGGCTGGGGGAGGACCAGGTGTGGTCTCTGTGGGTGGTGTTGCAGCCATCGTGGGCAAGCATCCTCGGTGGGACAGAAAAAGCTGTCCACTGCGAAGGACCTTATTTGGACCTCCATCTGGACCTCTATGGCTCTAGGCAGCGGTTTCCTCCCATTATCCCCCTGCCGGGGTATATATACCGCCCAGCCATCGGAATGCCGTCAGGTGCGCTGTCATGTGCAGCATCTCGACACCGTCAGCTGGGCATCCAGAGCGTTCACAGATGACAACACAACAGTGCTATCCAGACACATCCTGCCATGCACCCATCCGGGGTCCGGCAGTTGATCATGAAAGAGCTAGAGAGGAAGTGCAGTTCGTAGTGATGGTCTGTTTGCCTGTCTTGTACCTCGGCTACGGAACAACATTCCTCCGCCCTGACACCGTCCTCTGCATTGCAGCATCATCACCGACCATGTCTTGGACAACTGTCTGATTGGGTCTGGGGTTCTTGTTTTCAGCTACAGGAGCCCTGCTGTAGGATTACCTGTCTGCACATTTTCTTGGTATGAGTTCCCTTTACCCTCCCTCCTGCTGCCGGGTATCCCGAGAAATCTCAGCTAACGGCCAGCAGTATTCCTTCTGTATTATACTTGTCTGTGTTTATGCATTCATAGCCTTTTCTTTTTCTCGGGCCTGTGGTTCCTGTGTTGCCCGTTTGCCTCTTGCATTGCGCCAGGCCACCATCTGAAACCGGCAACTGGGCATGACCACGCTCGTTTTTCTTTCTTTTGTGTCACCATGATCTCTGCTCGTGCAGGCCAAATTCTTCGGGGGAGTCCTCGATCGTGGAAAAATCCATTCCTTGCTATTCGGTCTAATCTGACTCAACATCGGAACATCCAAAGACAGGGGCTCTATTCACAGTCTCTATCTACCTTCAGTCGACCTCCCATTTCACTTCAATCGCCTTTAGGGTATGGATTCTGTCCGGACTTTAATGCTGAAATTGACTGACTGAATCTGTTCCAGCGCGGCCAACCGCCCGAGTTACATTCAGGCTGCTCGGAAACCTGTGCGGATATCATTATTGACCCAGCACAAGAGGTGGACTGCATCCAAACCACCTGGGGATCAGAAGGGAAACTCCCCGGAAACGTAGGTTTGCTTGCAACTAAATCCTGACATCAAACCCTCTAAGTTTCTTTCCAGCACACCAAAAAAACCTCGCATTCTTCCAAAACTATCTCTGCCCAAGACCCATGAAAATATCTACACCGTCCCCAACATCCTCACCTTCTCCCGACTACTCGCTGCCCCCTTAGTCGGCTATCTTCTGGTACACAATTACCATGCAGCCGCGTTGTCGCTTTTCGCCTATGCAGGCGTCACCGACCTAGTGGATGGCTATATCGCCCGGCGCTACCAGCTGCAGACGGTGGTGGGGACCATCATCGACCCCATGGCCGACAAGCTGCTGATGACGATCGGGGTGGCATGTCTCGCGGTGAATGGGTCCCTCCCTGGTAAGTGGCTGTGTCCGTGTTTGTTTGATTATCGTTCTGATTGGTGTTCGGTATAGTCTGGCTAGCCGTGATCATCCTGGGACGGGACGTTGGCCTCGCCCTGTCCGCCATCTATTACCGCTGGATATCACTGCCGCCGCCCAAGACCATGGCACGGTACTGGGACTTCTCGCTGCCCTCGGCGGAGGTGAAGCCGACGGAGATCTCGAAGATCAACACCGCGCTGCAGCTGGTGCTGGTGGGGAGTGCGATTGCGCTGCCCGTTGTCCCGGAGTCGATTATTCACACCTGGCACTTGAGCGAGGCCATGACTGGATTCCAGTAAGTGTGTCCCTTTTTGCGTTATTTTCATTTTCATTGTGGGTAGAATACCTGGTGTGGGCGGGTATGAGCAGCTTTACGGATGTTCTCAGTACATGCGACCACAGGGTGTGGAGAACAGGGCTTCCCGTCCGCTCAGCCGTACTTAAGCCACACGCCGGTCAGTTAGTAGTTGGGTGGGTGACCACCAGCGAATCCTGACTGTTGCATGTATTCTTTTATTTTTTTCACTCTTGTTTTTTTCTTTTTTTGGTTCTCTTCTATTTACATTGTTGCTAACTATATCTAGATACCTCGTTGCAGGAACCACCCTCTGGTCCGGCCTGAGCTACGTCTTCTCCAAGGATGCCGTGAAAATCCTGACGAAGGAGGAGGTGCAGAAACGGATCGCCCAGGCCGCGGCGAAGCGGAAATCCTGAATTATATTAGAGTCGTTTGGATCTTTAGATTAAAATCAAACCTGCATTTGTTTGCTAATTGTTGCCCGCGTTCCTCCTGTTTTTGTTTGCTACTTCCTAATCAGCAGTCCATTGTTTCTTCCTCAGACATTTCATTCACTGTCTCCCGGCATAAATACTCCTTCATCCCCCTCTCTCCTTCCTCCTTCTTTCCTTCTTCACCTCTCTTGACTTCCTCATCTCCCGCCTCCTCCTGGTGGAAAACCACCAACCTACCATCAACGCCTTCCATTATGACCGCTAGACCAAGGAAGATGCACTCGATCCAACACGAGACATTCGCAAGGTTCTAGTCACAGCACAAAATGCATCTGGGCTGCAACCTTCAGCTTTATCACCTTGATGCAACAACTCGCCCAAATATATATATGGAGCCTTCGATGACAATATATCTCCGTTGGCAGTGCCTGGCAAGTCTCGGCGATATGGAACATTGCAACCATACAAGACTGGGACTAGACAGCCTGGGATGCAGAAGTGCATGACCAACGGCCTTTGGCCATCAAAGTACCAGCCACCCACATCGGCTCACAAAATCATCAACATCGAATGCTGCGAACATTTGGGAGGCTCTCGTGACAGCGCAAAAGGGACACCGAAGGCACAATTTCCTGCATCAGCGTCGTTGCCACGGCTCCGGGCATGCCTACAGGCCGCGTGCTGCAGACCACGAAAGGAACGAGTGCAAAGATCACCAGCTTCCCACCCTTGATCCAATCCACGCGCCATTTGAGCAGCAATTCTACTGGCCCTAGCTGCATGGGCTGACACAAAGATGAATCTCTTTTTGGTCAATTCGAGAGCTTTGGGTTAAATGTCATGACACCATTATTGCAGAACCAGTCCTGTCCTAGCGCAACCAGAATAGCTTTTACAAGATTACCTCAAACCAGCCCTGATTAGCAAATTAGCTACTGGTCCTGATTATTAGCGGACTTCTCTGACACAGCGGGATTTCGTTGCGGCGGCTACAGCATACACTGGCAGGCAAAATGCTGAATTACTACGTTCTCTATAAATCGATTATCCCCTGGTTCTAGACGGAAGGAGATATATATAGCTAAAGAATTATCTCGAGGTAAGTTATATATTTACACACATCTAGACACAAATAGTTTATCTCACGCTGCCTTTCAGCCCAGTGGGAGGAAAAAGACAAGGACTGATCTTCCAGGACCGACGTATTAGCAAGCAACGCCGAGAGGGGGATGTCTTGCCCCGACCCGGTGAACACTATATGACCCATAGGTTCTCACGTAGTGCGTTGACCTGTCCCTTGGATGGGTGTTCGTTCCAAACCCCATTGCAGATCCTCCATGGCTTGCTCTCGCGGAACCCGGACACTACTTGTTCGGGTGCTTGCACATCCCTAGACAAGGAAGCCTGAATCAAATGGCAGCCCCAGCGGGTGGATTCAATGTAATGATAATATCCTTGGGCGAAGTCGACTTCACGAGACCGGTACGGGGTCCTCCGGCCCATAGATGGCACTCCAGTAATCCTTAACACCAGCACAAATCCCAAGTTGGCCCTCCCAGGTACGGAATTTATCCTCAAGCTGACAAGCGGTCCAAAGAATCTCGCGCCAAAAGTTTTTCTCGACGTCATCCTTGGCGCTGAACCCTTCCACCACATTCTCCGGGATGGTCCAGGCACGGGTATACGAGCCGTCGTCCGCAATGGCCGGGTTGACATCCTGCGGCATGAAGACAGTGGCCGGGTTGAACTTGGGGAAATTGGCGTGGATGAAGAACACGGGCGGCGCGGGCGCCGAGTCGCCCTTGATGCGCCATTTGCCCTGGCGCGTGAGTGCGAAGTCGGCGATGGGGTCGAACTGCGCCATGGCGGATCCGGCTAGGCCGCCTGCTGTTGCGTGGCCCAGCGCGCATATCGGCTCGCTGACTTGGTAGAAGGGCTCGTTCATGGCTGTTGCGGCGGCCACGAAGGTCTCCTTGTCGCCTTCGCCTGCGGCACCCTGAGACAGGAGAGGGTAATAGTGCGTTGGGCCCCAGTAGTTGTAATAGGTGCACAGGAGGAGGGTGTGCAAATGTTTGGACTTGGAGATGACGATCTCGCCGGATTCAGTGGACTGGCGCAGGTCCATAGCTGGAACGGGCTGGCCAATGATCTCGTAGAAGAGTGGCGAGACCGACGACGCCCAGAAATCCGGCCAGGTGATCATGCCCTTGGAGCGGAAGGGCTCGCCCTTGAACAAGACGTCTGGTTTCTCGAGCGGGAAAGCATCTGCATCGAGAAACAGGATCTCCTCGAATGAGGAGAAGAGCATGGCAAACGGCTTGAACTGGTACTTGGAGATGGTGATGGGTGCCGCGTCCAGGATGCGCGAGAGCATGATGCATCGCGCGTTCAGTGCCGGCAGCACTACCTCACAGATATGTTCCTCATATTCACTCCCATCAGCCAAGAAGACTTCCATGGGCAACTTGGACCCCGTGCGACGAAGCATGCGCAACGAGATCACCAGCACGGGCAGATAGGGGCCTCCGGCCGTCGAGACCAGACCTTTCGTGCCGGGCACATAACGCAGTGGTGGTGGCGCGTGCGTTATCACGTCCACGAACCCCGTATGCGACTCCTTCATGGTGACGACCGCGGCCGCCGAGAGGGACAGGTAATCCGGGCGCGGGGAAGGGTTGGTCGCTTTGAAGCCCTCCGTCGGCGCCTTTACCACCTCGATCAGCGGGTCGGCGTCGGGTCCGTACTTCTCGAGGAGTGGGTGGAATTTATACCAGAACCATCGGTGGTGCTCCGTCAGGTCCACGGAGACCTGCGCCGACGTGTCGGGGCCGCTGAAGATGATGCGGTAGTCGTCGGAGTCATATCGCGAATAACCCCATGTCAGGAAGATGATGAGAAGCAGCGCGCCGAGCAGTGTGCGGATACGCAGCAGGGACCGCGGGAAGGCCATGATGAACGTATGCGACAGGGGGATTGCGTGCGCAGGAGAGGCGGACTATGTAGGGTGGCCGGATTCGGCCCTGATCACGAATTCAGGGATCTCGGTCACGTCACCGGGAAAGTAGCCGAGGATAGACAGGGGCGAGTGCGCGAGATGATGAGAAGAGGACATGATTTTGATATCGATGAACTCTGGAGGGACAAAAGTGTAAATGAAGGATGAGGTTACAATCTAGATGCGGCACGCCCCACTAGGTTGGCTGGTGATGATGTGATGATGTGGTGATGTCCTACTATGTGTGGTTATGTACTATCCTGGCTGGTCTCTTCCTCTTCCACGATCGCCGTCGAGAGCAATTGGCGATCCCCCATGGCCTTATACTCGGCTAGGTAGTCGAATGGCGGCTCTGGGGGCTCTACGTCGTCTGGCGGCGGACTGGAATCATCCTCGGAGATGCGCAGGACGTGCGATAGGGAGGCTCCCGTCCAATAGACAAGCAAGCCAATCGTCGCCCCGGTCAACAAGGCGCCCGTGACAAAAGAGAGAAAGACCTGAAAGAGTGCCGTGAGCGGATGTATAACACAAGTCGTCTAGTCTAGCTTACCTCGAACTTGGCCAGGACCCGCAAGGGGAGGAGAGCCAGGTGGAGGAGGCCATGGCCCACGTAGAGGAGAGGGATGGCCAGGAACCGGACCAGACCCAGCATATAGGTGAACAGTGCTCTACACACACTGAACACAAATGCCGGGCCGTATGCAAAGGCCGATAACCATTCCATGGCTGGATGAGAGAGCTGCTCCGGTCGGGTTGAAGGCAATCGTAGGGCGCGTAGGGCATGCCCTAAGTCCAGGCCCAAACCGGGGCGGCATCACGATGTCATGCTCTTCAACCGCTGTTCTTTTGTTCCTCCCACCTAGTTTGTTCATTGACTCCCTCGCCCACTCACTCGGACATGGGCAGCACATCCATGCTGCCATCTTGATCTACCTCTTCCTCTATCCTCTTCCTCACCACTCTCCCAACCATCCTCGCCTCGCCGCCCAACGTTCTTCCCCCGCCCTACATGGGTAACAACCCTTCCAAAGGCCCGGTCGGCGATGCGCCGCCGGGCCATGCGCATGCCGGCTCAGCGGGGGACAGAAAGGTGGTTCGTCGACCATCCCTCAATGCAATTCCGACAGCCAAAAGTGTGGCCGCCGACCCCTCCGCGACCAAAGAGACCGTCGCCGGCCGCTCGGCAGCATACCAGGCACCCTCGCAACACCGGCTACAGACTCGGAATATCCCCGATTCCCCGACCCGGCATCACGGCCACCAGGAGAGACCCGACTCACGGAGATCCGCGCCCCCTCAAAGCAAGAACATCCCCTCCCCCGACCCCACCAATCCGGTCCAGGTCCCAACGTCCCGCCATAACGCGGGCCGCGACTCCGTGGCTCCCTCTGGCCCGCCCCTCAACTCTTACTACAGCGCATCGGCGCACCTGCAGCGCCCACCGCGCATGCCCCTGCCCATTGGCGATGCTAACACCACTCCCGGCTCGCCGATCGTGGGCCCCGAAGACTCGCATATCCAATCGCTCCCCGCGGACCAGCTTCTGGATGAACAGATGGACCAAGATGCTTCGACGGTCGGCAGCTCGACGTTGGATGGGGATGAGGTGGCGGACGAGCTGCAGCCGTATACTGTGAGTGGGGTAGGGAAGGCCGTGCCCACGTTGATTGAATGGACGGGACCCGGGGAGAAGGTCTATGTGACGGGAACTTTTGTCAATTGGGAGAAGAAGTTTCGTCTCCATAGAAGGTATGTTTTGCCCGTCCTTTTGGTCAACTAGTCTAACCGCAGATGTAGTGAAAATGATGGATCCGTCATGTGCACCACATTGAATCTGCGGCCCGGCACGCACCATTTGAAGTTTATTGTCGATGGCGAGATGAGAGCTGCAGATAACCTTCCGACAGCTGTGGATTTCACCAATCACCTGGTCAACTACGTCGAAATCAGCGCAGAAGATGCCCAAAGAGAAAACGACAAGACGCCGCAGTCCGGGGTTCCGCCAGGAGTCCATCCGCCACAGGCACTGCCCGAAGACCCGAAGCAAGACCAATCCGGGGAGACAGTGGAAGAGCCGCCGAAGGAGGCCGAGGAAGAAGTTGCACCCGGGGATTTCGGTAGTGACATCCCTCAGTTCCTGGCTGATCTGGACAAGGAGGAAGACAGTCCCGCCTACTTGCAGGCTGCCAATGTGATTGGGGATATGGCCACTCCGCCGAGTCTGCCGCTGTTTTTGGGGAAATCGATCTTGAACGGTACCACCCCGATGAAGGACGACAGCAGCGTTCTCAACTACCCGAACCACACGGTTCTGAACCATCTTGCCACGAGCAGCATCAAGAATGGTGTTCTCGCTACGAGTGTCACGACCAGATACAAACGAAAGGTAAGTCCGCTTTGCTGTATGGTCTGTTTGTTCGTTCTAATAATTCTACTCGCAGTACGTCACGACCATTTTGTACAAACCGACCGGCGACATCACGGGAGAATAAGTTACTCTGTGTCTCTGCACAGTCGACACGCACATTCCTCCCCCAGAGAGTCGACGGAAATATTACCGCGTTACCAAAGGCTTCCTCACTTCCCATGTGGAGTCTACTTCTTCTGCACTAGAATGCATACAGACTTCTGGTTGACACTTGTCTCACGAGGAGAATTCCGATTCAATGCTTCCGGCAAGACATGATCGGGGACCACATATAGCATGGGTTCGAAGGCGTTGATGGGGTGTCGAGTTGGAGTTGGGAAATAGCACAGAACAAATGTTCCTTTCTACAAGAATTTCAAACTCTTGCCTGATTTTAGCTTCATAACACATTATTATAATCATAGAAATTCATCTGGCAGCAGCCCATCCATTCAATCCTGCCGCCATTTCACAAATACTTCATCCGTCCGGAACCGCTGCGTACAGGTGGATTCCTTCAATGGGGTCGTCAAGCCTTCACGGAACGCGAGCATGCCTGCCTGCGCAATCATGATCCCATTATCGATGCAGAACCGCTCATCCGTCGCAAAGACACTGCCCCCGCGGTCCCGCGCCATAACCCCCATCATCTCCTGCAGACGCAGATTCGAGCCGACGCCGCCGACCACCAGGACCTGTTTCGAGCCGACGTGCGCCATGGCGCGCTCGGTGATTTCCACCAGCATGGCATAGATCGTTTCCTGGAGCGAGAAGCACAGATCGGCGCGGGTGGGCTTGTCTCCATCCTCATCTTTGGTATCTGCACCACCGTCATCTTTCTGCGCCTGTTCGGCCCCCGCAAGACCTAACGTCGCGGCCAGCGCATCCACCGCAGCAAGAATCCCCGAGAACGAACAATCCATCCCCTTCACCACATACGGCAGATCCACCAGCCGCTTACCCTTTTTGGCCAGTTGCTCGATGTTATACCCCGGCGCCGGGTCATTGGGGATATGTAGCGTGCGCGCAAACCGGTCCAGGCAATTCCCCACTGCGATATCGAGCGTCTCGCCGAATATTCGGTACCGCTGCGAGCTGTACGCGATCACCTGTGTGTTGCCGCCGGAGACGTACAGGACGACGGGGTTCGTTGCGCCGGTGATAAGCCGGCCCATTTCGATGTCTGCAGCGGGGCATTAGCCATCTTAACTCATAAGAAGGAGAGGAGAGAAAGAAACGTACGTCCAACGCAGTGGTTCACACCAACCAATTCCTTCCCCCAAAGCAGACTGAGCATCCGCGCCGCAATGGCAATGCTCTGCAGCGGGGCGCCCATCCCCGGTCCCTTCGTGTAGCAGATGCAATCAACCTCATCCACGGCTATCCGCGCCTCCTTCAGTGCCTGCTTCACTAGCTTGACGACCCATGCTCGGTGGTGCCGCGCTGTGTCTTTGGGCAGGAAGCCCTCGCCTGGTGGGGAGTTGTAGGTGTGACGCACGTTGGCGAGGACTCGGGGCTCGCTACCGTCGGTTGGGTGTAGCATGATGCCTATCCCGACCTTGTTGGCCGAGCCTTCCATGCCGATAGCTATCATTTTGAATTATTGTGTCGAGTACTGGTTCTGGGTGTTGTAGAGTATTAGAGGGAGGAGCCTTGGTAGGAAATTGATTTTCGTTATCGCTTGTGCTTATCAGGTGTTCCTCCGATCAACATCTACTTTTCTTCTTTTCTTCTCCCTCCCTCTCCCTCTCTCTCTGCACTGTACATTTTTGGCTTGGGAGTGGCTGTCCTGCTTTCTTCCATTGACTCCCTCATGCACATGCTGGACTTCTTTTCTGCTTTTTTCTCTTCCCTATCAAAATCTACACCCACCATGTCCTCCACTACCCATTTCCTCAATCCGGAGACGAATTCGCTCGTCGACTCCCAGACCTTCGAGCGAGAGTCACACAATTTTCTGACCTGGCTCAAATCTAACCCTGGAGTCCAAGTCAGCCCCAAAATCGCTCTGACAGACCTCCGATCCAGCGGTGCTGGACGAGGAGTCGGTGAGTGCGCCCAACCAACCCCCTCCCCACCCTGCACGCAAAATTTCCTTTTTTGTGGACCAAACCCTAATAGATATTTCAATTACAGTGGCCCGCACCAACATCGAAGAAGGAGAAGACCTCTTCTCCATCTCTCGCGCCACAATCCTCTCCGTGCAAAACTCGGACTTGAAGACCCTGCTCGCCGCCGACCTGGACGAGCTGGGCCCATGGCTCTCTTTGATGTTGGTCATGATATATGAATATCTGCGCGGCGAATCCTCAAAATGGGCTCCCTATTTCAAAGTCCTGCCCTCTCGCTTTGATACCCTGATGTTCTGGTCTCTGGCCGAACTGCAGGAATTGCAGGCCAGCCCTGTGGTTGAGAAGATCGGGAAGCAGGATGCCGATGAGGCAATTCGAGACAAGATTCTCCCTATTGTTAAGGCGAATCCGTCTCAGTTCCCGCCCCTCAATTCCCTTGAGTCTTGGGAAGGCGACGTGGCTGCTCACGCTCTGCTGGAACTTGCTCATATGATGGGGTCCCTGATCATGGCTTATGCTTTTGACATTGAGAAGCCTGAAGACGATGAAGATGATGAAGAGGATGGCGGTGATGATGGTTATATGACCGATGACGAGGAGCAGTTGCCCAAGGGCATGGTGCCGCTGGCTGATCTCCTCAACGCGGATGCGCACCGCAACAACGTGGGTGTTCCACTATCCTTATTTCAAACCATCTTACTAATGCCAAGCAGGCTCGACTTTTCCAGGAAGAAGAAGCGCTGGTGATGAAAGCTATCATGCCGATTAACCAAGGCGAAGAGATCTTCAATGACTACGGAGATCTCCCGCGAGCGGACCTTCTACGTCGCTATGGCTATGTCACCGATAACTACAAGGTTTTCGATGTAGTAGAGCTATCCTTGAAGGAGATCTGCCAGGCAGCCGGTCTGGAAAATGCGGACGTGGAGTCTCAACCCAAGGTACATCTCTCGATCTTTACCTCCACTACCTGCCATTCGAGCATTCTAACCATCACCCTAGCTCCAATTGCTCGAAAACTTCGACATCTTGGACGACGGCTACGTGATCTCGAGACCAGCAGCAGAAAGCTCCGTCCAAGACATATTCTCAACTGAGCTCGTGACCCTTCTCACCATCCTCACTCAGACACCATCCGAATTCGACGCGCAAAAGTCCAAGAACAGACCCCCCAAACCAAAACTGGAGTCTGCCCAGGTCGAGATACTCCAGCGGGCTCTGCGGACGAAGGCGACGTACTATCCTACGTCTATTGCCGAGGATGAACAGATATTGGCCAAGCTTCCCTACGTGGCTGAGGATGCATCCTCTCGTCGAAAGCGAATGGCCCTCCAGGTTCGCCTTGGCGAGAAAGAGACCCTGTCTGCTGCTCTGTCTGTGCTGGAGCACCATCTTGCTCAGGTGCCTGAACACCGGAAGCGGAGTGCCAGCAATGGGGGTGAGACCAGACAGGCTAAAATGCCACGGGTTTGAAGACGACCAACGATTGCGGGTGATTAAATTATCTTTGATTTTCTCTGAAGATGCTTTTCTCTTTCGCTTTTCCATCATTGCTTGATCGCATCATAAGGTCGGTTATCCGTACACAAGGCCAGGTCCATCAACCACCCGACCAACCACCTCGAGGAAAAAAGGAACTATGTACATCAACAAGTGCAGAATACCCTGAGACAAGCCCCGGTATCTGCCTCAGCAAGAATGAAGAATGTGAGTGAGGTGGAAGAGGTGGGTGTGGGAAAAAACAAGACAGAGGGCGTTCAAACCAGACTTCCCTTCGCCGCCCACGCAACCAACAAAAAGAGAAAAAAAAAGCATGAGGGTACTAAACTACAAGGGGAGATTGAAGAGAAAAGAGGTGAAAAAAATAAATAAGAACAAACCCTCAAAAAACGCCCGCCAAATGCTGCCTTGGAAGAGTGAAAAAGAAAAAAAAAGTCGTTCGCAGTCACGTCTTCAAGTCTCCGCCGATGCAGCCTGCCCCGAATTGACCGGGGGATTATGACCGGGTTGCTGGTCCGTTTGCAATCGTCGCTGAGACTGTGCCTGGGCATGCGCCTGCGCATGAGCCTGGGCAGCCACGGCGGCCTGCTCGCGGGCCTTGGCCATGGTGATGGCGCGGTGCTGCATGATCTGGAGGCTGTACCCGTCGGTGTCGTAGACGGGTTCGTCGTCCGAGTCCTCCTGGTCGTACTTGAAGCGGTCTGCTTTGAGGGGATCCAGATCGACGGAACAGCGCGCTGCCACCACGTTGCGGCGGTCCACCAGCAGCCGGCCGCCTCGTCCGATGCGGCGTCGGAAGGAGGGGAGTTTGTGCGGTTCTTCGTGCAGCTCTATTGCGCGCGAGGCGAACTTGTCTCGCGCGAAGAGGGGGCTCGACACGTCTAAGGAGGTGTCCATCATGTTGTGATCAGATGCCTCGGAGGATGGCGGCGTGGGCAGTTGCGCGGTGAACGCAGGCCGGAAGGCGGCAGTGTCGAATGTCCGCTCGGGAGATGGAGACAGTGGTGCGCGGGTGTGATCCACATAACCCTCGTTCCACTTGATGTGTTTGCTGATGTTCTGCTTGATATCGCGCAGGATGTCGTTCTCTTTCTCGGCTTGCACTTCCTCCAGCAACTGCAAGTCCTCGGCGCCGGTAAGACCGCCCTTGAGAGGCAGACGCAGTTGTGGCGCACTGGGCCGCTGGGGCATTTCGGCCTGCTTCTTTTTCGGCTGGGAGGGGGTCAGCAAATGTGCATGTGCCTCTGCACAAAACCGCAATACGCACCTTCTGGTTGATGAGATCCTCATCGTCATCCTTGATGTTGAGCTTCCGCTTCATCTCCTTGACCTCGGTGCGCTGGACGAAGACCTGGCGCTCCATCGAGATCATCTCTCGCCGGCCGATTTCGCGCTGGCGCACCAGCGCAATCAGTTGCCGCGCATCTTCCAGCTCCTTACGCAGACGCCGCAGCTTCTCTGCGCTCTGTGCATCTCTGCCACGAGTCTTGCGGATCTGCCGAACCTCGCGCCTACGGAAACAGACATACGGATCACTATCGTCCGTGTCTTGGCCGGTTTCAAACTGCACAGGACAGAGTCAGCGCGGTCGCACGGTGCAATGACAGCTGGGGATACTCACCTTGAGACTTGGCTGCAGGCTATGGTTCTCCGTGGCCATCCGACGCGACTTCCAGTGCTCATAGATATCCTTGGCGAAGCGCTTGACACAATCTTCTACCGCGGCATCCATCGCATTCTCCATTTCCGCAAAGGAGGGCACCGGGGGACTATCGACCGCCGCAAACGGCTGCTTGGCCTGCGCGGTCTCCTCGAAGAAGTTCATGGTCGCCTCGAAGTCATCCTCGGAACACTGGTCGGCGGCGTCGCGCTTCTGGTTGAAGATCTTGAGGAACACATCGTCCTCCTCGGTCATGTTATACGGACATCCGCAGCAGTCCTCGACGGTGGAGGAGAAGCGGATATAGGTCGCGGGCTGCGAGAAGATGGGCGGGTACAGCTCATCATAGCGCAGGTTGCTGAGGATGGTCTCGGGGGTGGGGATGTGAGCCTCGTTGACCTTGCCGCGGGCGCTGGCCTTGATGGCGACCTGCAGATGGAATTCCTAGAGGCGAGGTGCTGCGTCAGTATGTTGTTTTGTTTCTGGATGAAAATTTGGTGATGATATCACGTGACCATGAAGGGTCTGCGGCTAAAATTAGAGTGGCTAGGGGGGCGTACCTCCTCCTCGGCCTTTTCAACGCCGGTTTCGATGTTTTGTAGGGAGGACTGGATCTCCTCGTCGAGGGCATCGATTTCATCCTCGCGGACGATGGGGATGGACGCCTTGGGGGTGAGTTTCTTAGGGCGCGTCCGGCCCAGGCCCCCGTAGCGAGTCATAGGGACGGGACGCGCAAGCAGGCAACGACCATGGGCGGAGGGGGGATAAAATGGGTATCAGTAGAAAGGGGAGATCATGAGCTATCGCGTGGTGGTATTTTCGTGATGGAAAACGATTCGGGGAGGGTGGTAAGGGCCGAACAATGATGCAGGGAGAGCAGCCAGGCGTTGGGTTGACGTTGCAGTGTGACCCGGGTCTGCTCGGGGTTGGTCCAGTGCACGGCCTCAGGGGCTCGCTTGCCACTCCCGATCCGGTTAGTGCGGGGCGACCAGATATCAGATTCTCGGGTTGTTGTTATCATTCATCATTCATCACCATCATCCGCACGCTTGACTTTTTCATCACTTTCCCCATACACCCCACTAGTAGGGATGGATCCCGCCCAGTATGGCACCCGTGCGCGACGCGGCTCGGTCGGCACTACCCAACTGTTCGACAACATCGTGTCGGGCTCCAACTGTACGTCTCTCCGCCTGCTTCTCCCTCACCGATGCTGACTAGAACCAGTCGATCGCGAGGAGGTGGACCGACTGCGCAAACGCTTTATGAAACTCGATAAGGTACGGTGACAGGCCGCCATATCCCCCCGGAATGACGCTCACGCTGTCTCTCCCAGGACGCCTCCGGGGCGATCGATCGCGACGAGTTCCTCTCGCTCCCCCAAGTATCCTCCAACCCGCTAGCCACACGGTATGTCCCATGCGCGCGCGTTCTCACCCATATATCCGTCCTCCCCTTTGACGTCTCCCCCTCTTAGGATGATCGCGATCTTCGACGAAGACGGCGGCGGCGATGTCGATTTCCAGGAATTCGTGACCGGGTTGTCGGCATTCAGTTCCAAGGGCAACAAGGAGGAGAAACTGCGGTTCGCGTTCAAGGTCTACGACATCGACCGTGACGGCTACATCTCCAACGGCGAGCTGTTCATCGTGCTGAAGATGATGGTCGGCAATAACCTGAAGGATGTGCAGCTGCAGCAGATCGTCGACAAGACGATCATGGAAGCCGACAAGGATGGCGATGGGCGTATTAGCTTTGAGGAGTTTACGGATATGGTCGAGAATACTGATGTGAATCTGAGCATGACCCTGAGTATGGTGCCTTCCCGTTCCCTCGTTATCAATTACGCTGACCGTTGACGTTTCAGACCAAATTTGATTTGTCTCTGAATGAATAGTATCCTGGTGCAGGGGTGTGTGGCTGATGGCGTTTATTTTTGATTTACTTGTGGGCAATGACATGATGACCAGCGATGATTGAACATACATAGCCAAGATGACAGGTCTGTCAGCAACCTGAAACGACCGACCTTCCATCGTTTCACATTTTTTTTCTTCTTCTTCCAAATGGCCTCGGCATCGCACCCTCCTTTCATTTCCTGGCGGGCTATCGGTCTCGTGGCCCCAGTAGTTCTTTCTCTCCTGGCTGCAGCCCCAATCGCGCTCGTGTCAGGTGTCTTGGATTGTCGGGTCTGGTGAGACGCGACATCGGAATTCCGAGGCACTGGATTCGACGCAGGGGTGTCGAGACGTGGTACAGGCCGACTTCCTTTCGCCACGACCGCCTCGTGTGTTGTGCGACGAGTGATGACTATGGTTCGGGAGAGGACCGGGATGCTAGAACAGCCAGCAGGGTTGAGTACATAGATCTAACCATCAGAATAGGAGCAGTCATGTACATTAATCGAGAAACTTCTGCACGATCGAGACTAACCCGAGAGAGGAAGTAGACAAGAACAAAGAAGCCCAAACCTCGGCTCATCCCTCGTCCCCATCCCAACCAGTCCCCGGAACAATGCGCAGTATGACATCGTCCGCCCTTTTGTGCCCAATCCAATCCTTTCGAACGCCTCGCGCCGATCATCCCCGTGTAGGCGTTCGGGGCAATCGATTTTGCCATTTGTCTCGATCGGCGCAGATATCCGCCCGGGTCCGTTCGAGGTGACGGCGGCTGTCCGGGCGATCGCTGGAATGAGCTTCCCGCCACCCCTAAATCAGGGCGGGTGTTTATTTAGGGATTCCGCAGCGTCCAGGAATAATTACGCAATGTACACAATAACTAACTACCTAACGCTGCCTCATCTCTGTTCCTGCGGTCCTCCTGGATAATGGTGGTGCTGGTACCTCCATCCCTTTATCCCTGAGCGCCGGCAAGGGGAATAGCCCTAACTCCCACCTGTCTGACTCCTAAAGTCAGCCCCAGAGTTACACATCGTCCATCATTGACAGCTGAGATCGGGAACCCACTCAGGAACCTCCTCCCCGGGTTCCCGATGGTCCCAGGGCAGCCCAATGCAGATTAGCCGCGTCGATCCCATTCCTCTAGTGCGTAGTCAATAATGATGATAGTCCAGGTGCTCGGGTTTGGAGAGAGGGTCAAGAATGGAACCCACAAGCCCCCTCTAGCGTCATTACGACTATACGCTTGTTTTTCTTTTCTTTCTGCGGCTGCAGCTGCAGACAGACAACGTGCCCTGCCTAACTACTACAATACTCCTACCTACCTACCCAACAATCAACCCTACATCCACCTCACCCAACCTGGCATCCTACGCGAGTCCGCCGCAGTCTCCCAACTCGTGGGCTGACCTCGAAGTGCACCGGCAGTCCGCGTGGGACAGCCTGATGGATGGTGATAATCACGGACTAAAACACCATGACCGCCTGAGAGGCATAGGCCATTCCTCCTCGGCTCGATTGGCGGCCATGCACAACAACTCGCGCGCAGTAGACTCGTCCGCCCTGTCGGCTGCGGAGAGGGTCCAGCAGATGCCCTACGCCGACTATACAGGACACACAGGAACAGCCTTCCAAGCCGGTTCGTTGCAGGCGAACGAGGTGCCTGGGACTTACCAGCAGGACTTTGCGCGCCATCAGCACCAGCAACCACAGCACCACCATAGACAACAACAACAACAACAACAGCGTCGCGGACACCTTCAACAACAACATCAAGACGTACAACACCAGCAGCAGGCGTCCCTCAACCCATATGAGTCGGCCATGCTATACGGCTTTCAAGGCCCATCCACGCACAGCCAAGGCGCCTACGAGGTGGTGCCACAGTACTCGGCGCGGCAGTCTGCAGCGACGATGGACGCTCTGTCGAACCAGTTTGGAGTTCCACAGTACTATGTGCCAGAGGAACCATCCAGCGCCGGGGTGGTTCCTCAGTCGGTGCTTTCGCCCTATCTGAGCGCGCAACTACAGCAGCAGCCATATAGTACCAACCCGCAGGCTGCTTCCATCGCGCGTCCCAGTACGACAGGACAGCAGCAGCCCTTCGCCGCTACAATGGCGGACTTTACTTCCATTGGCGCTGCGCCGACGGCGCGAATAGATCCGCACCAACATCACCAGCAACAGCAATTATCTGCAGACCCCAGTCTGGACGAGGCATACAGGCAGTACCAGCGCGCACTCCTCCTGACCTTCGAACACACCCGCGCAGGACGACTAGTCGAAGCGAGCCGCTCCCTCCTCGAAATCTCCGAGTGGCTTGTGACGAACGCACGCGATCTCGGTACGCATCCATCTCCCCAGCTGCAGGACCTTGGCTAGCTCCACTGTATGGGAATGGACAAGACATTTGGACCAAACTGATCATCGTGAATATCCAATCTAGGAATCCTCCGCGATGATCACCTTCTCTACGCAGACCGGCTCCAGCTCTGGAGCGACTTCAATCTGTGCTGGCTGGCCGTGTGCCAGAAACAAAAGGATCTGACGCATGACCTCGTTGCGACGGGCCATCCGCCACCGCAGACGAGTCTGCTGCGCCGCGAGCGTCTAGAGGCCATGGGGAAGGTTCTGATCCACCTGTGCGATCAGCTTGAGCAGCACGGCCTCGTCGATTATCAGGTGGGGGTGTGGGAAGAGGAGATCCTCTGTGGTAAGTCATACTTTAGTTCCTCATAAAGGAACTAAGCTAAAATGAACTAGTGCTTGGCCAATGCCTAGATCTGATCGAAGCCAGACCCGATCTGCTCCGTCTCCAGCCCGTCCCTGAGCCCGCCGCCGCGAAACCTTGAGCTTGACCGTGACCGTCATATTCATGGAACGTGTCAGCCTTGCATCTTTTTCTCCCCTTTCTTGCAGATAATTACCCGGCAAAGTGGTCCGCGCTCGGACGTCGATCGGTACCGACTGTCGTGCGCGGGGGATTGCCCAGGTCTCCGGGACTAGTTACCGCCACGATGGGCTATTGTTTACTAGCCTGCCCTAGTTGGCTGGGGGCCACTACTACTCATTCTTCTTGTTGTTGGGAGGATCGCTGATGATGCGATCGCTTCGAAAAGTAACGACAATTTGTCACTCATCTCTCCCAAGGCGACCAGCAGACGCGACCTCGCGTTGTTACGGTAGCTTTTCTCTAGCTATTCTCTCTCTCTTTTTGTTTCTCGCAACTGACGCGGGAGCTTGTACATAGGCGGATCTGCGGAGCGAGCTTGTTCCTTTGTTGTTTTTGTTGTTGTTCGGGTCTGGTTTCCATTCTGGATCAGTTGCATTCGGGAGCGCGTGCGGGCTGACGGGGGGTCAAAAGGTAGTTTGGCGCAATTCGGCGTGTACCGTCTCTGGGTGTTCGGAGCAATATTCTAAGGAGAGTATTCTCCCGTTTGTTACAGACATAGATACCCTCAGACATCACGAATGATAGTTCAATGTGAATCGAATCGCCAGAATAGTAAACCCCGAATATGCATTTGAGTACAGGATATAGGACCGGAGTCGCGACTCTCGATCGGCTGCGCCATGGCAGGTGGAAATAATACACACATAGGAAACAAAAGGGAACGAAAATAGATCACCGCTTGACCCAGGTGGGCATTTTCCGGGCCTTGACGTGACCAGGCTTCTTCCTCTCGACGCGACGGGCATCGACGGAGATCACACCAGCTAGAACCAAGCATGTCAGTATTATAATATAACCCTTCATGGAAGAGGAAGTAGACATACCCTTTCTCAAAACCGGCTTCAGAGCCGGCTCATGCACCAGCAACGCCCGCGCCGTAGCCAGCGTAATAGCCTCCGCCTGACCCGTCACACCGCCGCCACGCACATTGATCCACGCATTATACTTATCCAGACGCTGCGTACAGCGCAGCGCCCACAGCGCGCTCTCGCGGTCATGCACGCGCTTGAACACGTCGACCAGCGACCTGCCGTTAACGAGGATCTCGCCCTCGCCCTCGACGAGATGCACCACGGCCGAGGATTCCTTGCGCTTGCCTCTCCCGCGCGCGCGCCCGCTCTCGTCCACCGTCGGAGGCGCCAGTTGCTGCGCGTATGGGTTTCCGGGCCGTAGGAAGGACTCCAGCGTGGACCGCACCTCGGCGGGAACGACGGCTGGCTGGATGCGGTTGAGCCGTTGTAGGATCTTGACTAGGCTCTTGTATTTCTTTGTGGGTACGGGCTCGCCTACGAAATCGCGGAACTGGGCGAGTTTGAACCATGCCATTCGCGGGGCTTCGCTGGCTTCCATGGTCGGGAGCCCGGAGTATTTCGTTTGCAGCTTCTCGAGCTTTAGGACGTGGTCGATGAAGCGGGGGCTGCCCGAGAAATAGGCCGGAGAGGCAGGGACAATTCGAGCGGGTGATCGGTTGTTAAAGGTTGAGAAGTCGATCTCCGGTGCTGCTGGAGATACTGCCTCCTCTGTTGTTGCATAAGTGCGGGTTTGGGTTCGGGGGTGTCGGAGGTGTGAGGGGGCACGGGAGGCGGAGACTCGGGAGGTGGATGATGACAGCCGAAGCAATTGCATCGCCTGAGCGATACAATTGGACCTGTGCCCGGCCATGGTTGTTGTGTTCGTTGAATGGCGTAGGTAGTTCTTCGAGGTGTCCAGTCAAGTGTTTTTCGCTAATCACGTGCCGCGCATTAACTGGTTTCTCCGGATGCCGACAGAACAGCCCGCGCACAAAATTTCGTCTCCAGCCCCTCCTTCCCTTCTTCATCTTCTTCTCTCTATCCTTTCTTTCCTCCACCTCCCCAAATCTTTCAAGATGACCTTCGGCAAGCTTTACGGTCTTCCTGTATGTTCAATCTCATATTCTCCTCTATCTGGTCCTAAGCTAATTCCCGTCAGGACAACGGTCGTACCATCGCCATCCTGGTTGCTGCCAAGCACAACAACCTGGACCTGGAGCTGGTCAAGACTGAGGCTAAGGCTACTGCTGCTTTCAACTCCAGCGCTGAGTACCGCAAGATCAACCCCGTTGGCAAGATCCCCGCTTTCGTCGGCGCCAATGGCTACACTCTCACCGAGGCGATTGCCATCGCCATCTACGGTACGTTTGACGATGTTTATTCTTACGCAGCAACCACACCACACTTGCCCCCTCTTGTGCCCTTTGCATGATGAACAGTATCATTACTAGTTATCCCTGACTGAACTACACTGTTGATAATATCAATTCTGATAATTTGGCCTACCCCGCTTTGGAGGAAATTTTTCCCTCACATTGCCCCATTGTTGCTCCTGATTGCTCGAACGACCCACTTGGACATTCTGACTGACTTGTCCTTTTGCAGTGACCTCCCAGAACGAGAAGACCACTCTTCTGGGCAAGACCAAGCAGGACTACGCCTCCATCGTCCGCTGGCTCTCGTTCACCAACGCCGAGCTTCTGCCCAAGCTCGCCGCCTGGTACCGCCCCCTTCTGGGCCTGGATGGCTACAACAAGAAGGCTGTCGATGAGGCCGCCAAGGTTGCTGTGAACACCGTCGGCGTTCTCGAGACCCACCTCACCAACAACACCTACCTCGTTGGCGAGCGCATCACCCTGGCTGACATCTTCGCTGCCTCCCTCCTTACCCGCGCCTTCGCTACTGTCCTGGACAAGAAGTTCCGCTCCGACAGCCCCGCCGTCACCCGCTGGTACAACACCATCATCAACCAGGACGCTTTCAAGGCTGTCTTGCCCAACCCCGTCTTCGCTGAGGAGACCATCAAGTACACCCCTCCCAAGAAGGAGGAGAAGCCCAAGGCTGCTGCCCCCGCTGCTGAGGAGAAGCCCGCCGAGGAGAAGCCCAAGCCCAAGCACCCTCTGGAGGCTCTCGGCAAGCCCACCCTCATCTTGGACGACTGGAAGCGCCAGTACTCCAACAGCGAGACCCGCGAGGAAGCCATGCCCTGGTTCTGGAAGAACTTCAACGCTGAGGAGTACTCGCTCTGGGCGGTCAACTACAAGTACAACAACGAGCTGAAGCTCACCTTCATGGCCAACAACCTGATCGGTGGCTTCCACGCCCGTCTCGAGGCCTCCCGCAAGTACCTCTTCGGTGCCCAGGGTGTTTACGGTGAAAACTACAACTGTCTCATCAAGGGTGTCTTCATGGTCCGCGGCCAGGAGAGCCTCCCCGCCTTCGACGTCGCTCCCGACTGGGAGAGCTATGACTTCATCAAGCTCGACCCCTCCAGCGAGGCTGACCGCAAGCTTGTCGAGGACATGTGGGCCTGGGACGTCCCCGTCACCGTCGACGGCAAGGCGTACGAGTTTGAGGACGGCCACGTCTTCAAATAGATGTGACCCGCAATTCTTTCCTTACCCTGCTCCCCAATACCCTCACTCTCCCGTCCCCCTATTAAAAAAAGACTTACGCGCCGATGTTCCTTATGTTCATGGTTATGATACGTTGAGATGTGGAATGATGATCCATCAGGACCGAAGGTGTCTCCGTCTCAGTCTGGCTGCTTGATAGTTTAGTATGAATCGAACAAGACAACAGCATGAGATGTTCTCTCAATTTACTTCTTTCTTATAGTAGATGCAGAAAGCATTGTAATTAGTGGTGGCAATCTAGTTTTCGGGTGCATGTGGCCAACCTCGCCTTTCTACTACCTCGCGCCCAGATGCGGTTCTGAAGACTGAAGTTGACGATGACATCGGATGCAGAGATACAGGTTCCTGCGGAGTCACACTGTGCCTCTTTGTACGTTTTTTCAGCCAAGGCAGGAGATTGAATACGCCACCGCATGCGAAGATGCCCAACCAAAGTGCCAACTCACTTCCATATATAACTATGCCAAGTATGTTAATAGCCGGCCCGAATACTTATCGTATGTTAGCAACTGGTTTCTCACCCAAACATCTCACTATACTCACAAATAGATATGAGAGAAAACAGATCACCAGCGGCGTCGATGCCCACAAAGAAGAAACTGATTCCTCGTACAGTTCGGTGGACATAAATGTCCCAGTAATGCCTCAGCACCCCTGCTGAGAGCAGACATGCGCTTAAAATAGCCATCAAGATGAGAGGCCATCTGATACCATGAGATCGGGCTTCTTTTAATGCAAATATTAATCCCGCTTCAGTGCCACCAAAAATTAGAAAAAGAGGAGCGACCGAAGCAATACATCTCGTGACAGAGTACCTCTATCCCATAGTCAACAATATGTAGACAATGACCTAAGACGGATAGCACTTACCTTCCCATAGTATAGGCACTGACCCCAAGTAACAAGGCTCAGAGTTGTAAGTATCTGAGGCTGGACTCTTAGAGCCACGTTGAACTCTTCTACGATATTGTACACCCCGAGAGGGACCCCCGCAGCTGCCCATAACAGCATCATTGACCCCTGCAAGCCTTCAATGTCGTGTCTTTTGTAATTTATTATAATCTGGGGTAGGAGCTAGACAAAGAATTAGCATAAGCGCATAAGATCTAAGCCACACATCATTGATGCCTTACCTGGATAGACCAGCACACCTATGAGCTTTATTAGTTGTATAGAAAAGAATAATTCAAGCTGGTGAACCCACCGCGCCTAGAGTTCCCAGGACGTTTTCTGCTATAGGGATGTCCATGGTGAGAAGGTAGGAGAATATGAGAGGGCGTAGGAATCCAAAAGGGTTTGGGTAGATAAGAATGATTCATCATACCACGTGAAATGGTCCTATTTCCTAGAATTCTAATTGGGCCCTTTCGCAGACCCGCCCGTTTCCTCATAGTCTATTTTTTGCCCAAATGGGCATATGGGCCTGACCAGCCTATATAGCCCCAGGTCCCAAGCGCACTCGATGCCCGGGCCGAACTGTTAAGAAAGCTGAAAACGCAAATAAGGAGCAGCGACTCTAGCCCGCACAAAGCCACAAGGAGAATTCAAATTGACACAGCAGCAACACTCGGCGACAGCCAACAGGAGATCCTTTTCAAGCAAGCAAGGATGCCGAAAAGGCCCAAGTTGGAAAGGCCGCTCAGAAAGACAGGTAAACGATCCTGGAGAAATGGGACATCCACCTAATAATGTGGACGCAGAAAACCCAGATGGAATTGAAGGAGGGCTAAAATTGATGGGCCCCTCCGAATTTATGCAGTAGGGGCAGAAAGCATAGATGAGAGCGATGGGTAAGGAATCCTGGATGTTACTAGGGGAACAGCAGCCGCAAAGGTGGTGGGCATGGAGGTAGCAAGTGTATGGAGTTTCGTGTAAATACATTTTAATCACTATTCAAGTAAAGTAACGGCGCTCATTTGAACACGAGTTCTATCGCTATGATAACCTTTGGAGGTTAAGATGACGTACACGATAGAACGCTTTAGTCAAGGAACTGAAGCAACCTCTTTCACGTTCCGTACACAATCCCGGAATTAGTTTCCATAGTAAGGGTTCGAAACCGAGTCCGTAGTTGACTCGTCACAACACTGGTCGAATATCTTTGCACCGGTTGAGTCATACAAGCAGTTATCGTTTCCGAAATAGATATCACCATAATTCCGGGGCCAGACAGCGTCAAGTTTGCAGCCAGGAACGACTTTGTAATCAGTCTTGTCATCGCCGTTGAACTTTGCATAGATGGTCGCAGTACTGTTGCCTGTGTTTTGGTCCGCAATATCTGTTTGGAAAGGATTCCCTGTCAGATCAATCATGAAGACCTATGGGAATTGGAATGACATACTTGTGGTGCTGGGATTGCATAAATTCTGATCGTTCACGTTGATGCATCCATTGTTAACGTGCTTCATCATCCATATTAGCTGATAAACTCCATGCGTTAAATGCTTCTTCTTTCGAACACGTACCAAGTTGGTTCCACGAGAGTTGTAACCAGCTGGCGCATCACAAGGCCAGTATTCATCACTATAAAACCCTTGTATCCAATTTTCAGCTGCAGCTGTGATGTTGTCACAGATGGGCAAGTTGAAGAATCCAGGAGTGCGGATTCCGTTCTGGAAGATCACGTCACCCTCCGTTCCTTGCCCATCAATGGCCTTTGACAGATCTGGCATTTTATAGCCATTTGCGTTATTGTTCAACTGATAAGCCTGGTACGAACTCTGCACGATATCCTCTAGAGTGACACCGCCGTAAGCAGTACCGTCGAGTGTCGAGTGAGTGCCACCAGGGAGAGTTTGAAAAGGCAGGCCAGATTCAGAGTTAATGCTCACGACATAGTAAGCATCATTATTGTAGCAAACATAGCTTCCCACCATGGTACTTTCAGAAATCCACTTGAGAAGGTCTTGATTCACGGAGGTGGAACAACCACCTGCATTTCGTCTGATTTAATTGGTAAGTATTTCCTTTTCTCCCAATTAGCCGGGGGCATATTCTTACAGAATTCGAGGATATGGTTTGGTAGGAGCCACTGCCCAGGCAGCTGGAATCAGCTGCCCATAAAGGATCTTTTCTGCCTCGGCAGTCATCCCAGTCAACTCTACCTGATCTGAAAGCAGAAGCATGGAACCATTGGCGACCAGTTCCTGAAGACCACCGATGGAGGAGTCATCGCTTGCTCCACTAAAGAGGGATGTCATATACCCGCCCTCCATGCCAGTCCAGGTTGAAAAATAAGTGCCAAGTGCATCCGAGATGCTGTTTTCAGTACCCAATGCATTGCTTGCGCTGTTTTTTTTGGTAAGCCTCTGGGTCTAGATCAAGCTGTGCCGCAAGGGTAAGGGAGATTACTGACGATGACAGCGAGTCTTTGCTTGTCGCAGTGCTGAAAGAGATGAGAGCTGCGTTCGTTACATCTTTGCCCATAGAGAAGTACTTCGAGGTGGCAAGAGTCGCAATTTGTTTTAATGCTTGAACCCCGACTTCCAGTTAGTAACAATGTTCAGACACAGCAATGGATATTATTACCAATGTTCCAAGCATAAGAGCTCGCAATGCTGGCACCCATGGTTAAGGCATCCAGGATGATCTTGATTATTTCACTATCGTCCGGCTTTTGGGGCGAAAACGTGCTGGAAAAGGTACCAATATCATTTTGCATGGCATTTAGAGCGTCGCCAAGAGCATTATAGGTCTGCTGATGAAGCTGAGTAGAAGATATTCCAGGTTAGTCAACAAAGAATTACACGAATGACGGGCAAATCGAAATACCTGGTGGATGGAGGAAAAAGAGTTCATGATCAGATACCTGCGTGTTCGTTTGAGTGAGTACTTGTACTTGTTCATTCAAAAAGACAGAAGCCTACTTACCCAGCAGGGTATTTGACTTGGTTACAGGTGAGCACTGTAGAGCAAGGAGTGTTGCCAATATCTCCACAGTTCCAGTTGTCTGGTCCAGAAAAGTAATTGCTGATGAATTCGGGGAACTTCAAGCCACTGGAAGAACCAGAAGCTGACCAGGCAGCCAAAGCAGCTTTCAAGGCATCATCTGCATCTGCTGCATCCCAACGGGCGGTGGGGTCCAGTGTCGCATCGGTGATTTGGGAAGTGCACTTGACATTCTTCCATGAAATGGAGGTTCCATTAGGGTGGATAGATGAAGGAGCAGGCTTGGAAGGCCTAGGGGACTTTGCAGTTGTTGTGTGACCCGCGCTATTTGCAGTCGTCGTGTGGACAACGCTAGGGCTAGGGGGAGCAGCTTGGCCCAGTACGCATAGCAAGGACAGAGCCGTCCCGAGGAAGACAAAATGCATTTCGAATTGGTGCTTGGGCGATCGAACAGATAGTCAGAATTTGGAAAAGGAACCTTTGTGCAAGAATACTTCAATGCCAGCTACACTGTCGGTCTATTTATACCCTCGAGAGCGTCTCCTTTTCCGTCAAACATCTAGATATTGTGAATACGAGAACTACAGACCCCCAAGATCCAAAAGAGCATAGAGCCAGGCTAGGAGTTTACAGCGTGCCTTGAGAACCATATGACATTCGTTGATGAATGCAGAGATCCTCTTTCTCGCCCCCATAGACGCAAATGTGGCGATTACTCCGCCTCCTTCTCCATCAAATATTTAGAGATGGTGAGTACGAGAACTACAGACGCCCAAGATCAAGATGAGCATAGAGCCGGGCCGGCAAGTCACGTCGTGCTTTGAGAACCATATGACAGTCGCTAACGAATGTAGAGATCCTCTTGCCCCCATAGATGCGAGTGTGCAGACTACTCAGGCGTTTTGCATTATTACGCAAAAGGGAACCCGATGAGGATTAATGTTTGACAGGGAAGTTCGCTTAGCAGGAAGATCTTCAGGGCAATGACAGCGGGAGTTGAAACTTCAAGGTATCCCCAGCCTAAATGCTTCAGAATACGAGCTCCGCTGATTGCTCCTCCAATCGGTTCGCCCACATTCCCCACGTGGAGTGAGTGGGCCCTAAAGGCTACATGCAACTTTAAAAAGGCTGTCAACCTTGAAATACGCCTTATTTCGAAGACTCTACCGTTACCTGTAGCCAATACTCACCTAAATTGTCATCAACCCGGCCTGCAACATGAATATGAGTGACTAAGATAGCTTCAAATACAGGTACCTCATTTTGATTTCCGATTAGATTGATTGGCGCACTCAGTTCTGGTGCATACCAGAATTCCCGCCTCAGATACTTATGAACCCGGTTCGCAAGCAGTTTGCGGGTCTCATTGTGATCAATTGAGAGCCCTGAAGCCATTCCGGGTCACTAACGATTCGATCTCACTAGCATCAACGCTATAAATAGCAGCTAACAAATCCTAAGCACTAAGCCCCCGGAGAAGATCTCCAATAGCCTAGTGATTCGCTAGGCGGCACTCCACATTAACAGTCTCCCCATGGCACTAATGCCCGGGCTCAGCCCGCCAAGTTTCCTGCTGTACATAGCCAACTCCGATATAGTTAACTTAGTTATGTTTATCCAAATAAACGACCGAATTCAAGCTCTTTGAAAAGCTCGGCAATTTATCCCTTTCGAAATGTGCCTGACTCTGTCCCCAATAATGCGCAGTTGTTCCTTTAACTCCCTAAAATTTCCTCGGTTAGTCTTCCTTTGTCCATCCCCGAAACAGTTCAAGCTCAGTCGGCAGTAAGAGATTGCGGGAAACAACGGCGTCCTCCAGCATTCGAAAGAGCAAGAGGATATCGCGCTGCAAAAAGAGTCGGGAAAGAAGATGACGACGCCGAGCCTGATGAGTCTAATGAACGAGACCCGTAAGAATTTGTGTTCAGAAATAAGAATTGATTTAAAACTGTGCTCAATAATACGATTGACGTTCAATTTAGGCCATGATATCTCAGAGGTGAAACTGCAGAAATTCCCAAACATCTATAGATCGCATAATAATATTTAGAGAAGGATGACGTTTGCAGTAGAACGTCTTAGTCAAGGAATTGAAGCGACCCCGCGGACCTCGCGGACCTAGAGGTCTTTGTTAGGACCTCGGAGTATGTTTGACCGACCACCCTCGTTCAAACACTTCTCAATTACTACCATTCGAGCTTCGACCTAAGCCCTCAAGAACGCCTTACCTGAATCTGTATTGAATTGACAACCAAGCATAGATAATAATAAGAGAAAGCCCGGGCGGAATTCTCATGCAGAGGTTCTTGGCCCCATGTATAGTTAGGGTGACATCCATGTTTAGGCCTCCAGGATTACTATGTAGTAACTAATGGAACGGTAGTATGTAATTGAGGGAGTTCTCATCCAGTCAAAACCTTGCGGGGAGACCCACGCGGGGAAAAGGGTCGTTCGGTTTGTCAAGTTCAGAACACTTGCTGCTTGTGAGTAGATGGTAAAAAGCGATTCTTGCCATAGACTTAGGGTTTGCTGGGGTTTTAGGAACTCCAGAGATCCAAGAATGTGGGTGTATATGTTCGGCCAATTATTGCAGTGCACACCCTAACTCGCTCCTTCCTCTCTACCCAGAGGACGATCTTTGTCTCGTATGTTTCTGTCTTTTTTGGCCTCGGACTTTAGGGAAATAAATCAGTTTCTCTTTCCCCGCTTGCCATTCTCTTCCCATTGATCGTCATTTTTCATCGCCCATATCACCCGTCACCTTGGCGACCCTCAGAAACAAAAAATTTTGCGCCCATTTTTCCCCTGGCCATTCCACCTTGTCTAGCTACAGTATGTTATCCAAGCCTTCTTTGTCTTCTTTCTTTTGCTTCTCACAATTGCCTCACATATGGATCTCACTGATGATTTTCATTTAGTTATCTGCTCTCCAGGTTAACTTTGCATCACGAGAGCCCTACTCGACCCGGGCCTGTCCTAACGGAAGTAAAATTCTTTGGTCCTTGGGATAGCTTGCTGAGGATTTGACAATGGTACATATTTCGCTATGCCTGGCGGCTATCCTGGCCGGCAGTATTAGCCCAGCCTCCGCGAGCCAAAAGCAGAAGGATTCAGTATACAATACGAGATTTCCTGGTGTGACCTGGGATAACAATGCTTGGACCTTGACAAGCACCAATTCCAACAACACGGACTGGTATTCTCAGTCATTCGTTTCCAACGGTTACATTGGCGCAAGCTTTGCCTCCACCGGGCCTTTCCCACACAACTACGGCCCTCTGGGCGGCCCATATTTTAATGATCATGTCACTTTTTCCACCATTGCCGGGTTCTTTGATCGGCAACCGAATGTTACTTTTGCGGCGGAGCCTTGGCTTAGCCAATATGGATGGGAAAGCTCCATAGCCGGGATCCCTTCTTGGGGCTCCATAGTGCTTGATCTAGGAAATGGCATATATCTTGACGGCACGATTGATGAGGCTGAGCTCTCAAATGTGACGCTGCAGCAAGATTACAAACAAAGCACTGCCAGCTATTCTTACACTTGGTCACCGAGAAAGCTGCCCGGAGCAGCGTTAGACATTTCTTATATGGTTCTGGCTGACAGACTACATCCGAATCGGGCTTACGTGCGAATGAGCATCACATCATCAACGGCTATGTCCGCTAAGGTAGTGAACATTATTGATGGAGCCACATCTCTCCGAACGGACTTTGTTGAAAAGGGCATGAACGAACGGTTCATTCACACTGCCATCCGTCCAGAAGGAGTGAGCAACGTCACAGGCTGGATCTTTTCCACACTGGACAGTCCCAATGCGAACATGTCAGCTTTGCGACAGAGCACGGACGAGCCGTACATCAGTACAAGTGCATCCACCATTGCCCAAGGAATGGAAATAAAACTTCAGCCGCACCGACCGGTCAGCGTAGTCAAGTATGTGGGAATTGCAAGTTCCGACGCCTTTGAAGACCCCGAAAAATGGGCACTCAAGCAAGCGAAGGCAGCAGTGGCAAGCGGATTTGAGAAGTCCTTACAGGGACACATCCAGGAGTGGAGGGAGCTATTTCCTACAACCGCTGTGACCAGCTTTGCTGACCCAACATCGCACCGACTTCCTGCGCACTTGGTGGGCCGGCAGATCACGACGGTCGTTGCAGCGGCAATGCTCCTCATGACCAGCGTTACCGAAAATAACCTTGCCCAGGTTAACAACGCACCCATAAACATGTATGGGTTTGGTGTATGCGGGCTGCTCTCTGATTGTTACGGCGGCCAGCGATATTGGGACCAGGATATATGGATGGGTCCTTATCTTTTCGCCACGAATCCAGTCGCTGCGAAGCAGATACCTCTCTCTCGAACATATTTTTACCACCAGGCACAGGCTAATATTGGAACAGCCTGGCAAGGTTCGAAGCGAAACTACACATTCTCACCCGGCGCCGCTGACTACGCCTGGTCGCAAGGGCGTGATGGTAACTGCTCGGCCTTTGCCCCCTGCTGGGATTATGAGTATCACAACAACGGGGACATTGTCTTGGCCTTTATCGACTATTGGGCGGCTTCTGGAGACGATCAGTTTTTCAAAGAGTCGCTGCTTCCGATCACGAATTCGATTGCTACTTTCTACTCCGATCTGCTGCGACTAAACGAATCGACGGGGACCTGGACCGTGACTAACATGACAGATCCGGACGAATACGCTTCTTTTGTTGATAACGGAGCATACACAATGGCGCTGATGCAATACACACTCCTTAATGCCAATGCTTTCAATTCTTACTTTGGGGAGTCACAAAACAGCCACTGGGATGAGCAAGCCTATGCTATCGAGATCCCAATCGATAAAAGCAGGGATCTGACTCTGGAGTATACGGGTATGCCTAGCTCGATATCCATCAAGCAAGCCGACGTTGTCCTCCTCACCTATCCTTTGAACAACAACAACAACGCAACATTCAGCAACCAGATAGAAAATCTTCAATACTACGCGTCTCAGCAAGCCCTGGATGGACCGGGAATGACATACGCGATCTATAGCATCGACTCCTCGGTCCTTGAACCTGAGGGATGTGCGGCGTACACATACGACCTATACTCGTGGACACCATATGTTCATGGACCCTGGTTCACAACCTCCGAACAGATGGATGATGGTGGAGGTGCCTATCCATTTTTCACTGGGATGGGCGGCATCCTGCAGGTTGACTTGATGGGGTACCTTGGTCTGCGCTACGGTATGACGCCCGGCGTCGTGCAGGTGTATCCAGTCTTGCCACCCCAGATACCATACATGCGCTTCCCCACATTCTATGTTTCAGGTTGGCCTGTCCATGCGGAGGCGACTCAGGAACACACGATTCTCAGACGCTCCGGGGAGAAACCATTGGCGACAGCAAACCCGGAGTTTGGCTCGAAAAGCATCACCGTTCAATTGGCTCGTGGCGCATCAGACAACATCAAGACATTCGAGCTCCCGCCAGGCGGCACATTAAGAATTCCAAACATGAACTCGCAGACGAAGAGAAACGTCGTCCAGTGTCGCCCAGTGGTTTATTCAGAGCAAGCAAAGACCCCTGGCCAGTTTTCCCAGGCCGCAATTGATGGCTCTAATAGTACATCATGGCTGGCAGATGCAAACAAGACCAGCAGCTTTACCGTCGATTTGAGTGGCGAGGGATTCCAAGTGGTCAACAGCCTTTTCGTTCAATGGACCACAGCACCCCCTGCCGATTCATTTGTCATATTCCACAACACTAGTAGTTCTAGTGGCCAAGACGTGACAAAGATCAATCTGTCCTCTGGTGCTATTACTTCAAGGTACAATCGTGGCAGACCGGAAGCTAGTCTTAATCGGCAAGTCTATCAGGGGTCTGTCAATATCAGCTTGGCTGGAAAAGGGGTTTGGACGGGACGATATGCAACCCTTCTCATTGATGGAAGTACTCAGCAAACCGGAGTGGCAGAATGGTCTGTACTTGTGTAATTTTCCATAGGACGCAAACAAGCACCAATCATCGGGTACATCGACAAAAGGTTATATTTACCACAGAGTGTAGCCGTATGCCACGTAGGGTGCTTAAAAAGCATGAAATAGAGTGCGCAATTGTGCTATTAAGGATCTCCATAAATACCAAAGTCAATCCGCAGCCGAGACAAAATTCCTGCGATTTGAGCTGCACACTGCTCTACATATACTGCATCTGAGCTTTTTGGCTCTTCGACTTTTATGCTGAGATGCTGGTTAAGACGCTTCACTCAAGCCCTAATGAGAGCCTTCCGTCAGCCTGCCAGAGTACTATCAGTTACTCTATTGATGTCTGTGGACACGAAAGCAGCCTTAGAAGTAATGGGGTATCTTTGAATCGTGTGAAGGACTTGAGAAGTTTGTATTTACATTTATAGGGAGTTGGTGGGGCAAGCCACAATGATTGAATGCAGCAAATCACGACGGTTCAAGACACATACTTACGAGCACCTGGCCAACCTATATAACGACCGCCCCTCCCACTTGTCAATCCATCTTCTTTTTCAGCCTTGTATTTTCCCTTCCACACAGAACCCTTCCCGTCGTAAGGAGAAAGGAAAAGCTTCAAACAAATATTCTTTTCCTAAACTGCCATCCTTCGTTTTGCACAAGAACTTGTCAGCATGGCATCCGAAATCAGCACGAACAAAGTATACGTCGTCACCGGCGCCAACAGAGGTCTCGGCCTTGGCCTCACCAAGGCCCTTCTGTCCCGCCCCAGCATTACCGTCATAGCCACGGTGCGCAACGACGAAGCAGCTGCAAGCCTGCAGGCCGAGCACTTAGAGATGACAGCAACCGGTCAGGGCAGTGCACTGCACATCATCCAGCTAGATTTCACAGCAGCCTTAAGCCCTGAGCAAATCTCCGAAGGCTTTTCCAAGACAGTCGACACCATTGACCACATCGATGTCCTAATCAACAATGCCGGGTTCGCCGCGCCAATGCACCCAGCAACCCAAACCTCCGCCGAGGACCTCCGTGCCAGCTTTGAGGTGAACACAATCGCGCCGCTAATGGTCTTTCAAGCGTTTTGGCCTCTGCTCCAAAATTCTCCCTCCGGAACACCGAAAGTTATCCTGATTTCGTCATCTGTCGGCTCCATCCGAGCTCAAGAGCCCATGACTGGGGGTGCATATGGACCCAGCAAGGCAGCTGCAAACTGGCTAGTTCGGGCCCTGCACCTTCAGAACGAACATAAAGGGCTCGTTGCAGTTGCGCTGCATCCTGGTTGGGTTCAGACGAGGAATGGTCATTTCGCTGCGAAGGAGTGGAATTACCCTCCAGGTCCGCCGGATACAGTGGAGGATAGTGTGAAAGGTATGCTAGAGGTTATTGATGGAGCTACGAGGGATACTATCTCGGGGGAGTTTGTTGCACAGACCGGGGAGGTTATTCCTTGGTAGTGCGATGATAGATTGGACATTCTCGTGGGAACCTGCTACACAATTTACGTGGGCTCAACTCTGGGTAGGAACACGATCTCAAAGCAATAAGTTTTGGCCTTTAGTGATTCTGTAATTCTCCGACCACCGAGTACATTATTATCCACAGTGGAGATGTAAATAGCTATATACAGGTACGTGTATCCAGTAGATTTTCTCCGCCAAATAGGGTTGGCTATCTTACAGGGCCGAGTTGCTCATAGCAACTGTTAAATATAGATCCCCTCCAAATAAAATGGAGCGGCCATCTTAGCCGATTCGTTGCTTTCGCCTGACCCAAACTTCCTTGTCATCACTCTCAGAAGTCCCGTCAGTCGATGATACCCGAGGTTCCCGCAGCTGGACCTCCCACACCTTCAGCTTGTAGTTGCCGCGATCCGCCTGGCCCGAGAAGATATCAAAGGACCATTCATGCTTAGGACAAGTAATTCCAGCACTGAGGGTGATCCCAAAGTCTTCAATGTCAAAGACATTGCCCTGGGAAAGTGGGAATGATGAATGCGGGCATTGCTATCCAAGGTTCAGCTTGATCCAAGGACCTGACATCAAATCTCTGACTCGTACTTACATGATCGACAGCGTGTACCTGCCCTTTGTATTTAAACACGAGAACCTGTTCTTTCAGATCCCCCGGTTGGTCAATGTCCGCTTCTACCGGAGCCTCGGGCGCCTTTGCCTTCGCCGTGGAGATGCGGAAAGCTTTGCATCTTGGGGCGATCCGATAGGCGTCCTTATCCAGGTCGAGATCTGGGAATGAGGAAGCAAGGCCAACCGGGTGCCAGGAGGAATCGGCCCGGAACTGTTGTCTGAAGGGGTTCATGTCATGAGGGAGGTTTTATGTTCGGCGCAATGGGCAGGAGTTCTATGGAATTCTTTTTTGGGCCTTTCCCGGCCCCACCAATCACGGTGGGCTAAGTCTTATCCATTTCATCCATATCAGACCCAGGGGCGTGCTCAATTCTACCCGGTGATCAAATAGGACTACAATGTAGAATAAATTACTGATTGAGTATAAAATTTTGTACACGAATAATGTCTACTTGATGCAGCTGTACAATAACAAGCAAAACGAAGTCTATCAACACCTCAAACGCCCCCTCTGATCATCCCATAAAAATAGACAGTATGCAGCATAAATCAATCACGTAAGAGATATCTAAACAAATCAAGCATTATCGCTCTTTGATTTCGTGAACCCAAGCGACTCCTCCAATCTGTCGAGAAGCTCATTCTCCGATTCGGAAGAGGAGGAAAGTGGCGATAGCGAGCGAGTTTGTCTTCGAGATATCTTTTCTGGTAGAATCCGGCCTGCAAGCAGTGGCGATGCAGTAGGAGATTGTCCCTGAGAGGTATTTGACGAGATTCGGCCTGAAAGTTGCGGCGATGCAGTGACAAATTCAGATCCACCGAGGGTTGCTTTTTTCCAATCATCATATATGCGATCGGCGTTCATTTTGCGCTTGGATTCCTTCGCGTCCATAACGGTTCGCTCCTTTTTGACCTTTTCTGCTCGTTTGGGGAAGGTAACATGTGCTGCTTTGGCGGCCGAAGCCTGCGCTTCTCTGGCAGCAGCCTTTTTGAGGCGCTTCTTCTCCCTCTTCTTGGCCTTTTTGTCTTGATGCTTTTGCTGCGATGCGGCAGAATCGACCGTTTTCTCTGCACCCGCCTCCAACGCAACAGCCTTCCGCTCCTTCTTGCGTTCCTGGTTACGGGGTTTCTGGTGGGAGAGAGCGTCCACAGAGCCAGTGGTGGGAAGTCCATAAGAATCGTTAAAGAGGGCAGCGCCGCCATCGTCATCCTCTTCGTCCTCTTCCTCCAAGAATTTCTCGGTTTCCCAGAAACTTGGATCCTCTTTTACTGCTTTCAACTCCAGGATGCCATGGTCTTCGAGGATCTGCTCGTTCCAGACTCGGAGGACTTTGCTGACATCGTCGTGGCGAGATAATGCATCCAATGCACCGAGGACCTTGGCGAAGAGCCGCGATTCATCGATGTTTGGGTCATTCATGAACTCCGGGATCTCTAGGATGTTGTACGGCTCTTTCGAAGCTTTCAACTTGCTATCGTCAATCAGGACAGTATTGCTTTGGTCCCATCTTTGGCCTACGGGAAACTGGCTGATGAATTTCGGCTGTTCCCCTCGCATTTTGCTTCGAGTCAAGTGAGCTTTGTTCGAGGAGTTCCCCGCTGAAGGCGGTTTTGTTGTCGGGTAACTGTCGACGGGCAAAGTTTCATTGCCAAGAATCTCCCTCGGGTATTGAAGCTGGATCGTTAGGTCCCCCCACACTATTTCCAGCTTTTTATAGACCTGAATCTTGTTGTTATATTGTGCACGGCTGAGATTGAATTTGTCTCGACCCCATTCTGCTGCCAGCGCTTTCCGCTTCTCGCCCGGGAATAATTTGTCGCAGACAGCCCGTACAGTCTGAGGTTGTGAGCTGGACCAGATCACAACCGTATGCTTCTTCAACAGCAGTTCCAGGAAGCGGTCCAGACCATCTCGCCGAGCAAATGAGGGAGGAAACTTGCGCGCTTTCCGGTAGATGAGAGTGCCATTGAGATCCAGGATGACGAGAAGGGGACGGGGCGAGTCGCACTTTTGGGGAGGCAGGGATGCCTGTGCTAGGTAGTCCTGTTCTGGGATAGGGACTTTCACAGTCGGCGGGCCCGAAGGCTCCGGGGTCAAAGCAGCCGTCGTGCTCATGGGCTGGAAAGAGCCCACTTGTTGAGAGGGTGACATGAGGAACGGATTCATGTTCATTGGGGTTCCCATCATGGAAGAAAAGAGCATGGGGTTGAAAGAGGGCATTGTTGGCACGGCATTATGACCTGGGTGGGTAGGATTCCATGTTGGGACACTGAACGCGCCGAAGGCAATGGGAGACTGGTTCGGTGGTTGCGGAGGCGGTAAATTCCCATAGTGCGCAGGCTGTGAGCCTGGGTTGCCCTGGCCGGTCGTATAGGTGCCGAATGAACCCGGATTGAATTGGTTGTATTGCGGGAACGACGAAGTATTGCCTCTCGGTAACTCGCCTTCAACCTCCGCATCCCGGTTCATGCCCGGGAACGACATGTTCGGATTCCAAAGCGCTTGTTTCGAGAATTGATCGTCCGAACCGTTACCAGTGAACCTTCGATCCATGTCTGGTTCATTATCGGTTGGCAATCCTGTGTTGGAAATTGGAGCACAACCCGTTGCGACAGGTGTCGGATTTAATGGTGCGGAATGACTCGAATCGGAAAGTGAGAAGGAATAATCATAAACGACAGAGGTCGGCGCTGAGACCTATGGAATCCATGGAGACAGTCAATTAGTTTGCAACCATGTGGATTAATCTGGGGGTATCAATCACCAACCTTCCCAACCTTAGGCCGGACTAGGGCGCGCTTTATTGTCAACGAACGATGGTAAGTGGGAGACCAGGGAGGCCGCAGCGACATGAGAAAAAGCGGGGCCATCCATGAGCGAGAAAGAATGAAGAGATGAGTTTGTGGCAAGTCAGGAAAGATCATGAAATTGTCGAGTCGGGGAGTTTATCGGGTTCACCGCCTTGGCGGCAGTATTCTTTTTTCTTTTATCGCTTCTTCTTCCCCGAGTCTCTAACGTATCCATACAACATGCCTATCTCGGACTTGCTGAATCGCCGGGTGCGTGCACGGCCAGAGGAAGAAGAAGAAATATACTCGGACGCATCAGCACCTAGCGAGGATGGCCTGGGGAATGACGAAGAATCCGAGGATGGCGACATGCAATCGCAAGACGTATGTGCTCTTTGTCTTCAGATGGGAAGGTAATAATTTGCCTGACATTGTCTCCAGTCAAACGAGTCCGACACTATGAATGACAATAGCGACGACGACGACAAGTCTGATCAAGACGCAGCCGAAGAAGACAGCCTGAGCGACGACAACGATGATCTTCAAACCTCGCTAAACAACATCTCCTTCGGAGCCCTCGCCAAGGCCCAAGCATCTATGGGGCCTAAGAAGCGCAAGAATAAACTGACAACCACAGCCTCCACCGAAGAATCAACCTCTGCCCTCGACGACATCCGGGCCCAGATCCGCGCCGCGCGCGAGCAGAGGCGCTCCAAAGCCCAAGAAGACAACCCCGCTTCCACCGAAAAGAAAGAAAAGAAACGATCCTCCAAGCACGCGCCAATGGTGCAATCCTCCAAATATGCCGTCTCCCGCAAGCGAACGGTAATCGAGCCCGCGGCCGTCGCCAAAGCGCGCGATCCCCGCTTCGACGCCGCAGTCATGGGCCACAGCGGGGCAGGGAAACACTCCGAAGCAGCAAGCAAAGCATACGCCTTCCTAGACGAGTACCGGGCGTCCGAATTGAAAGATCTTAAGGAACAGTTCGCCAAGACCAAGAATGCACAGCAGAAAGAAGCGCTCAAGAAACAGATCCGGTCTGCGTCTGATAAGATGCGCGCTATGGAGGCGCGGAAACGGGAACGGGATGTTATTGCCGACCACAAGAAGAAGGAGAAGCAGCTTATTCGCGAGGGGAAGAAGAGTACCCCGTACTATCTGAAGAAGTCGGATTTGAAGAAGCAGGTTATGATGAAGAAGTATGAGGAGATGGGGTCGAGGGATCGAGCTAAGGCGCTTGAGAGGAGGAGGAAGAAGATGGCTTCGAAGGAGAGGAAGAATTTGCCTATGGAGCGGAGGGGGTTGGGTGGTGATGGTGGTGATGAGCCATCGACGGGGCATGGAGCGAAGCGCAGACGGTTGTCATGATTCAATGAACAAATAGAATACCCGTGGAAATAATATTTACATTCCCGAGTCTGAAGACGATATGTAAACCATCGCTCTGGATTAATCGTAGTAAACCATTACCACATATAAAACAGCTAGCAAACAATGCTGATAATTCATGTCAAGCAAAGTCCAAAAGGTATCCTGCGACAAATGCCCAAGAACGCCATATAAAAAAAAAGCCAATGCAAGCAGTTCGGAAGAATGAAACCAAGGCATTGATCCTATCGGAAAGTAATCGTAGCATAGACTGCATCAATGATAAATATAGAGCATCAAGGTCACATTATGTTGGGGGCGGATGTCTACCGCGTCAATGACTGGGCAGGACTCCGGAGATGCCCTCAATTGGGCGGAGTATCTCGCCACGGTTGTAAGCTCGAGGCTGGATTTGTTCAACACGGCCTTACGGGGGAGAGTTTGCTCCCTCGTTGTCCGAGACCAGTCAAATCCTCCAAGGGGAGTGTGCTGGGCAGTTTATCGAACAGCGGCCGACAGCGAAACTCAAATAGGCGCTTGAAAGCCCTGGTCGACACTGTTTGTGGGTATCCCCGCCTAAGGAGGAGGATTTTTTGGATGTCATCGGCGAAGCGATTCCAAATCACGAATGGAACAAGTCCCAGGCTCGTGCACACAAGCCCAAGAACTCTTCCTTCTTTCTCCTCTGCGCTTCGGGAGAATCCCGCCCTGCACCAAAAGGACCGTGAAATGTGGCATTTGGGCCAGCGTTGTTCGCCGGGTTGGGTCGAGGATCGGGACCACGACCCAGCGGCGGACTGCCATTGTCCTGTTCGTATTCACTTCGCGGACGACGGCGTGCGGTGCTATCGGCCGCTTGCATAGGGGGAACAGGGGCCGCACTGGCCATCGGGTCAGGGCCAAGTGGTGCAGTTTTTGGGCCGGCATGGGCGACTTGTGGAGACGGCGGGGTGGGAGGCTGATGTCCTCCATAGTGCACGATTCGAGGCAGTAATTCTTCCCGGCCACCAGACAGCTCTTGCACGGCCTCTTCGGCAGAATGGTACTCGCGAGGTCGGGTCGGGGTTTGGGACATGGGCAGGCCCGGGGAGGGGTGTGGAGCCAAGTTATTAGATTGCGATGAGCCCTGATAGAAGCTGGAGCGTCCAAGCTCGCGATCACGCGAACCCAGTGCATCGGACCCAAAGACATCGGATAGCGGAGGAAGACGGTTGTTCGTTTGATTCGCGGGCATTTGATGTACGTGGGATGCTGAGCCCAACGTTGGACTATGATTGACCACATGGCGTGTCAACGGCTGTGGCCGGTAACCGGTGAATGTCGCATTCAACGGGGCGGACTGAATAACGCGCTCGTTGGCAAATTGAGAGGCAGATGGGGGGACGATTGACAGACCCGGCGGGGGTCTCTTCTTGGAGCCGGTCCTCGGCAACCCGAACGATTCGGACGGCTGGACTCCATCGGGGCCGTCATCTTTGGCTGATTTCTGGAGCCGCGATTCAATGATCGATCGCTGCTGCTCTCGCACGGACATACTCCGCTGCAACTGCTCTCTCATGACGGGATCATGCGTCTGGAAACCGGGCGACAGACAGGCCAATCCAACATCTTGCATATTAACTCCGTCGCGAGCCGTCATGGGCCCGTTGGGGGGGCGAACTGTCAAGCCGCTGGCAGACGACAGACTAGTCGAGAGGTCTAATTTCCGAGGCCGAGGTCGGGTCTGCATCCGTGGCGACGACGCGGGTTCCTTTTTCACTGTGATTCTGGGAGGAGGATTTGCATTCCGGGATCTGAGGCCCAAAGTATCAGCACTGGATCTTTTGCCGGAGGAACACAACTTACGGGGAAATTGGGACCTGTTTGTCGGAAGGAGAATCTTTCCCCGACGAGCCATCTTGCGAAGTTGTCGACATTCGGGACGGTGATGAGGCAGACGGGGCGCTGGGGCCTGGCGGGGCCAAGGTCGGGCAATTCTTTGGGCTCGGGTCGCGAGTTGTATGTGGTGAGGACAACGGAGCCGCTGTCGCGGGTGCAACTGCGGTCGACATGGCTGCCGGCAGAACAATACCGGGAGACCACGGACGGTATCGCGATGGCTAAGTGAGGAGGAGAGGAGAGAGGATGGACGCAGGCCTTAGAGGAGCCGGGTCAAACGTGGGATCGTCCAGAAGCTGGGGGCGGTTCGGTCGGTATCGCCTGCGGAGCACTCAGGATTTGGGGGATTTGCGATGGCTAGCACACTGCCCAACAACACCAGAAACGATGGATCAGAGAGGCGTTGAGAGATGCGGGCACGGCGGTTAAGCGGCAGACAGGCGGCAAGAGATAGTGTGTGACGAGAAGAGGTACAGATCCAGAGCGACAAGCGAGAGAAATGGACCGAGTATTGTGGTGTCGAGGGGTTTTGGGGGGGGGGGGGTTTGGGTTTCAGGGAAGGGAAAGGCTACGGGGAGGGAGAGAGGGTCTCGGCCCACAAGAGGTGAAGCAAGACAGGGGAAATGGTGGTAGCAGTACCTGGTGGATGTAGAGGGTAATAGTGGTGACTGAAGTACCGGGTACCAGCCATAGTGGAGCCCGGAGCCTTAGCTGAGACACCAAGTGTTTCTCATCTGCCGCCGGCGTTCGAAGGAGGCAAGGAAACCCACCACAGCCCGGGGATCCTGCCACTAGTGGTTGCAGATGTGATGGGTGATTGAAACAAACCATTAAATTTTACTTATTTCCCACTACGATGGATTTATCTATACTACTGTCCTCCGAGACTAAGACACCACCTGTCTCAGACATCTCCATGATCGCCCGGTGGGTCACCTCGTCCGACAAATATGTAACAACTCAACCCAGATACAATCATCGCGATCGGTGATCATCCAGAATATGGCGCTGCTAGTGGGCGCTTAGGGGCCGGCTAATGCACAGACTCGAACTATTGGTGCTGTCTCACGCCACTGGCCCCTGTCTCGAGCGATGCCCTGCAATCACGTCGGGTCCCGCATGGGGGCGTTCCCACGTTCACACACGGACCAGATGCCAGGCTGTCGGGCTTGAACTCCGTTGAACTGTAGGGTCAGATCAGGTGACTTGAGACCCTGGTATTATTATAAGAGGCCGCTGGCCTGGCTGTCTATTTGGAAAGACTTAGGGCTGGATGAATCCCACCCTGCTCTCGGAGGTGTTACTCACAAGTGACGCAGCAGAAAAATGGATTTCCAACCACAGTGCTGAATCGATGCTGACGAGGTTTGATAGCGCCACGGCTAACATCCTCTTGGGGAAGAGCGGTGCAGTAGGGTCAACACACCTATCTGCGGCCTTGCTAAGATCCAGCGTGACTGGTTCCGGACTATTCTTGCCTTGTCGATACCATTCTCATCCTCGAAAGTCTTGAACACCAGAGCGAGCTGAATAATGATACCGTTGCGGCATAGATCGACTCGGTATTTTGCTACTGGCCGAATGTGTACTTTTATCACGAAGCCTGACGTGATAATTCAAAAGCCCAGATGCCTGAATTTTAATCAGTCATCTTAAAAAGCCAGCCTCGAAGCAGCTCAAACCCGATGTGATATTGAACGCTTGGTGGGGACGACAATGGCGAAATAAAAGCTGACAAGAACCGTCGGAATCCGTGAATACTGTCTCTGCCTAATTCAAATTATGCCCCCAACTCTGCCTTCTCAAGAAACTGTGCTGATACAGGCTCGTGCCTCGCTTGGCATGTCTGTCGTGCTGTCTCGCTTCCTGCCAACGCAGTCGATTCACCCCGCAGCCTTGGTAAGAGATCCGACGTCAGCTTCCTTCGATGGCAATCCAAGATACAAGATTAGAAGTACACAGTAATACTATTCCGTAGAATGCACAGAGATCACACTGTTCGCCCAACTGTATAGCTATTAGAACTTAGATGTAGAATATGTACGTTCGCACCACGCCGCTGTTGAGCTCGCTGTAGTTGACCCGGCCGCCGATTGTCATGATTCAGTTGCCCCTCTCCTCACAACCTGGACAGCCTCTACTTAACCCTAAAAGAGATTGAATTCATGTAGCTGATCCTTCGGCCCCCGGGAACTCGCCGAAGGAGCCTTATTGGCCCCCAACACCCTGATCTTGAGGCATGATTGGTCTCAAGATGCGGGGGTTACATGGCAGGATCAGCGGTATAGAGATAGTAAGACCGGAGGTATTTAGTCGGGCAATGGGGCTTAATGAACCCTGTCCAAGAACCTGTATAGGAGTGTATATAAATCCCTCGCACCCCTCCTTTACTTCACCTTCTCTATCCTTCTCCGTCTTTCGATACTTCAGATTACCAACCCAAAGTCTACACCATGAAGGTTACTCTCGCCACCGTTCTTCTCTTCCTTGGCGTCGCCATGGCCGCTGCGGTACCTGAAGCAGCTGCGAATGACCCTGTAAGTGCCCGCTGAAGGCTTAAGCACAATTGCCCCGTCTGGTTGCTAACTTGACTGCAAAGCTTGAGAAGAGATGCACTGCCAGCGGTGGGTACTGCGCGGCCAATTCGGTCTGCTGCTCAAACTCCTGCATCGGTGCACTCAACAAATTCGGCGGCTACTGCAGCTAGGTTACCCTAGCGGGCACAGGCTGGCGACGCCGGAGTTAAAGGGCCGGGAAAAGATCAGAGAATGTATATATTGAGCTAACGTGGGCCTGATGGCTTGTCTATATCAAATATCTACTATTTCGGATTATGATCGTTTCCGCTCAAATATGCAGCGGCTATTCCTCCAAAATCGTCCAACGTGTGTCTTTTGCATTGGATCCCTCCCTGTAGTCTCTGTCCAGCTCTGAGATGTATTTTAGCCCCTATAGGCCTGAATTTCCTGAAAGATGGTCCCCAGAAATGACCCCTGCAAGATTTTTTGTCTTCGACGTACCGGCATAACAGCCAAGCTCGGAAAACATTTCTTTTTGGTCCATTTCTAGATTTCCCTAAGCTAGGTGGGTTCATTTGGCAAAACTTTCGTGAGGCCAGTGTCTATAGATATCTCGGGCTGGACATAGATTGGGGTCTCACACCCACGCAAGATCATTTGCGATTCCCATGTAGACTGACCCAACCATCTGTTTGAGGAGAGCACAACAACAATAATAAATCACAATTTACAATGATGTCTCACTCTCCTTTTCCGTAATAGTCCTGGCCATCCATCTAAGATAGGAAGGCGGTGTGGCGGCGATAATCGATAACTAGTAACCCACTTTTTTTTCTCGATCAGCTTCATTCATTATTCACTTCACTCAGTCTCTGCGAGGGCCATTGGCTGAACCGCTCAATCCGGAAGAACTATCCGTCTCACTGACTGGAAGATTTGTGTTCTCGCCCTATCCTTCAGCGCGAACCGAACAAACTCTCATCCAACCTCGAATCCGCGTCCCTCAGTCCCAGCGAGATTTCACTTCTCTCCACAGCTCCTCCCAGTCCTCTCACCATCTCTCAACATGCCGGGCTCTATCCACGACCAGGAACAAGAACAAGACCAGTCCATGATGGACGCCGAGCGGGAACCCACCCCGCCGGGTAATCCCATCCTGTTGGAGGAGAAACATATTGTCGTGGTTCGTCTTTTTTTCTCTCCCGAATCATATGCAGAATAATGCTGATTGCCACTTTTCCAGCTTCCTGGCTCGACAGAGACTGCTGCGTCCTTTCAGTTCGCCGGCGAGGGCCACACGATGGGTAATGCGCTGCGATTTGCCATTATGAAGAAGTGAGTGGTGGCTGTCTCTCTCGGATGATTCCTTTGAAGAAAGGAAAGAATCTCTTTTACTTTGCAGTATCAGTCCGACTGACTTGTTTTCCATCTTCTAGTCCCGCCGTCGAGTTCTGCGGCTACACTATTCCTCATCCCTCGGACGCAAAAATGCATCTGCGTATTCAGACCTCCGGTACGCCTGCACTCTTTCTCTCGAAAATTCGATATTATGGAAGGCACTCCTGCTAACAGCTTCTTTCCAGACTCCACTACTGCCCTCGAGGCCCTGGAGAAGGGCATGAATGATCTCATGGACCTGTGCGATGTTGTGACAGAAAAGTTCACTGACGCACGGGATCAATTCAACGCCGAGTCTGGTGATCGGATGCAGTCGTGATTTCCTTTCCATTGTTGTTCCTTTTCTTATCGGCGTTTGTGGCTGGAGGCATAAAAAGTGTGTCTGGTCATAGGTCTTGGAGTTGTATTCCATTGTGCATATTACCCCCCCGAATCGACGAGCACGGGGTTCATGAATATAGACTTGAAAGATGGTTGTATGAATTATGTGTCGGCCTAAATATCAAAAGTTGTTGGGTTTAAGAAATGTCCTATGAAGGTAGCAGTAAGACAGAAGGATGATTGAGAGCCTAGTCAGACTATATACACGTCATGCCTCGTCTCCACTAATGGGCGCAGTTCCTTCAACTGCAGCACATCGTGGACCGGGATGAGGGGGGAGGATGAGAAGTTGTTGATGAGAGACATGACAAACGAGAAGGAAACAGACAGGACCCAAAATCTAATTGCGGCCCTCCAGGAAGCCAGAGACGAAGTTGCGGGGTAACCGCGCACCGGGGTCTTCTTCTGGCCGGAAGTACTTCATGACGTGGGAAAGCTGCTTCCAGTAGTTGAGTGTTTCCTTGTGAAGTCAATTAGCTTTCTGTCCGGGGTATACGAAACAAGCAGAAACAGCGCGAAAGCCCCAACTAACCTGGAACTCGGCGTGGCTCTGGAAGAGCAGAACGTCCACCACGTTCAACTGGCTCACGTAGCGGTGCTTCTCAAACTCCTGGCGGATCTTCGTGCGGATGGCGGAGACAGGCATGCCCAGGGAGTACATGGTCTGGATCTCGGGAGACTGTATCTCATCTTGGATTAGCTCGGTATTCTCCCACAGCAGTGATCGCATCCCCAATCACACAGACAGCACAACGCCAATTCTTCCGCAAAGAGTCCAGAGGAACGAAGAAAGTGTGGGCGGCACAATTGGAAGGGGGAGGGAGGGCAGGTTGAAGGTTGAAAGGATCCGGGAAAAACTGACCGCACGAAGCCAT